AATATATCATTGGTTGATCTTTGTTCTTTATATAAATAAATGACCTTTGAAAAACATAGACAAAATACGTCATGACTTTCCCAACAACCCAATATATTATTTCAATTTTACAATAAGACGTTCGACAATACTGTATATTGTTTATAGGGGAATGAGATAGTGGTAAATGTAAGAAAGCATTCATGGAAAGAATAATTCTCTAATTCAGGATAGTGTCTTTGGGGAGGAAAGGAGAAGGGAATGGGGACTCAGAGAAGTAAACATGGGGCTTCAACCATTTTCATATTGGGGAAAAAAGATCTGAAGCTTATATAGGAACTTATTCAGATTTGACAAAACTAGATGGTAGGTACAGTGGGGGAGGATTACAATATTCTCTGTGCTTTTCCTTTATGCTTAAGTAGTTCAAAAGAAACAAAAAAAAGTAATATCCATCAGTTTAGCATCGAAGCGTGGTTATCACTTTAACTAAAAGGATCCCCATTAAATCAAGAATGCAGCCATAGTTGATACGGTCTCCACTGCCTATTTTGACAGAGATCCAGGCCTCTTGAAACACCTGCTCATAGGTCAGAATCTATATAGTTTTCCTGCGTCTGGAGTGCAGCTAAGAAAGGGTATCAGGCAGGTGACATCAACAAGTTGTTTTGGGTAGATCAGCTTGACAGTTTTTCAAGAACTGTGGGACCACCTCTCAAATGGCCCTTCAGACTTATTGAAGGTCAGTTTAAATATATGATAGCAGTTGCTCTTTTCACCCACAGGAAACCAAAGAAGGTGGTAAAGTTAGCGGCTCTTCAGGCAGCTGGGATGTCTAGGTCGGTATCATAAGTGGGAATGAATACACAGAGAAGTTCTAGGAAGTTAAAGTGACACCTATTATCTGAGGACTGCGGCTTGAGGCAAACAAGAAATCCTTAGTTATTATCTCAAGCTAAAATATCTCCCCATTTTACTTAGGCTGGGAATCGGGCAATTTCCCTGGTGATAGTGGTCTAATTTGGGGAACAAAGTGACCTGTGGTGTTCAGAGGAAAAGGTGCTGTGAATGCATGCATACTTGTGTGAATTTGTATTTGAGTGCTCGAAACAGGCCTTTTGGACCACTCTGTGTGTAGGGAAAACGTACAAAAGATAGAAGGATTAAAATGTTAATGGATCTTAGCAGATTCGTTGGTTCTGCTTCATGTTCTGCAGCCACCTATGAGGAAGAGGATATCATTCCTAAAGATTAAGAAACTTGAGTTAGGGAGTTTAGGAAATTTGGTCAACAACACAGCTTGAAAGTGGTAGAATTGATACAGATCTGCCTGACTCAAAAGCTCTTGCTTTCTTTTTCTTTCTTTTTGCCACACTTCCTCTTTTATAAAGGTAGGAGATGAACAAGAGACTCCTTTCCTGGTCTGTGTTTTGGCTTTTAAAAGTGCTTTGTAGATGAATTTGTTGTTCTTCTAAGAGGCATTATTCTTGATAAGTTAAACAAGTGTTTTATGTATGTTCAAATATATATGTACTGAGGGTAAGAGCTATATTATAGGAGAGCAACTTTTTACTTGGCAGAGTCCAGAAACTGAACAGCACTCTTCTGTATTGAGTTTGGACGGCAGTAAATAATAATGTGGAAGAAGGAGCTGGTATTGGGTGAGAAGAGAGAGAGGTAGAATGGAGATGAGGAGCTAAGGGGAGGAGAGAGAAGCCCAGGTCCTGAAACAGGACAAGACTGAGAATAACAGATAAGGCAGAAGAGTGATGGAGTACCAGAGGCAGGGCCTTTGATATGGATGAGGCAGAAGCGTGTTTACACACATGAGGAATGTCTCATACTATCCAAGATAAGATACTTCTCTCCTGGCATTTGTGGTCCTAACTTTTTAAAAAGTTAGATGAACAGTCAGTTAATTTCAGAAACTATAAATTAAGACATAAATATGATGTTCTGCATTTTTTATTACTTTGTATTAACAACAACTTATTGTTGGTTTCTAGGTTGCTCTCAGTGCAGATGATTTAACAGTTTTAATGAAAATTTTGCTGGAAAATCTTGGAGAAGCTTCTTCACAGCCAAGCCCTACACAGCCTACCCAGGAGGCTGTAAGAATAAGAAAAGATGTTCTGAGTGGACCTGACCACCTCAAAGGTATTGATGAAGATTTTTGCTTTGATTATGGAGAAAAATTAGCATGAATGCCATATTTAGTGTTTTTTTTAGTTGTCCAGCATACTGTGGTGTGAACTGATTCAGTATCATTTTTTTATTTACTGTGGAAAGTTGACTGGGTCTGGGGCTGCCTTGATGCTCCCAGGGGAAAGCAGTGCGCTCATTGTCTGCTTTAAGGGGAGGGACCACCTGCTGCCTGCATGCTGCATGTTTGCCCTTCACTTGTAAAAGCTGAATTTGCTGAACTCAAGAGACACTGAGGTGGTATACCTTGAGAGGAAAAGCAAGCCAGACATGCAGCATTAGTAAGGTCCCTAAATAATTAAGAGAGAAAAGGGCCTTGGTATCATACTCAGAGGACTGGCCCATGAGAAAGGAAGCTATTCTTGTATAGTACCAGCTTTACTTATCTAGCTTTATTGGAGAATGATATGGTCAGATATAAGGAAGTTTTCCAGGTTATTAAAACTGAATCTTTTAAAAGCACTGAACCTTTTTAAATTCAGCCATTTCTAAAAGATAATTTTTCTAACATATAAGATTCCTTCTTGTTTTATTAAATGGTTATATAGAACATAATTTCAATTTTTTCATCATTTGAAGTCACTGATGTGAATAGTATAAGCTATTACTGCTGACAGCAGTCTATGAAACTTCCTGTTTATAATGTCATACCAGCTTTGCTTCTGCTATAGTTGGGCCCATTCTGTGTTGAGATCACAAAACAAATGTTTCAGGCAGTTTGCGAAGTAAGGTTTTAGTTCAGGTGGATAGCTATGAGTGCTACATGAGCTTGGGAAGACCAGCATCTTCTCCACAGGTTGGGTTCATGCCTCTTTATAGACAAATGCTAGATAAGCAGGCTGGTGCTGTGACTGACAAGAACTATGTACAGATGAATAAACTATAGAAGGCAAGCTTTACTTGATTAATGGTCTCATGTTCAGCTGTGTTCCATTTGTGTATCTGGTTCTGGCTATTTGGTTAATGTGGTACTTTGGAAAACTTGTGAGTTCAGATGAAAGCTGCAAAAATGGTGACGATGGGAATACAAATTATTTTCAGAAAAGTAAAGAAAAATAAAAGACCAGTGTTTTCCAACTTGGAGAAGCCTTTATGTGGTTAAAGTTATTCAGTGTTTGCTGTTACAGTAACTTTAAGAAGAGACTTTACTATAAATGTCCAAAGAATAGACTCAATCTCCAAAAAGAGATTATAGAATCACTTCGTAAGGGTGATTGAATGCAATATCACTTTTCATCTGTCTAAAATATTTCTGCCTAAAGATGAGGGAAAAGACTAAATTACCTCTTGAAGTCTCTTTCACCTCAATTCAAAGGCTCCCTGCCACGCATTATATTTGAGTTCTGTTTGACTCTGCTATTGAATTATATTCTGTTCTTATAAAGGTAATGGGTTGGGTGATTTAGTAATTAAAGATAGTGAGATGCGTACTGTGCTAGCAGAGAGTCTGCTACTGACTAGCTGTCTGTTCTAGGACAAAGTATTTTACTTTTCTGTGTTTCCAGTTTCATAATCTCTTGGGAATGGCTTGTAACCAGTTAGATGAAATGCTTTGATAATTATAAACTACTCTGTAATAACTGGTATTGCTCTGGAAGTGCGTTTTATTATTTAAAAAAATGTTGTCTTGATATTCTTTGCAAGGTCCCCCCCCTTTTTTTTTCTTTTTTTTAGTGTAGATGATCTGCCTTTGTCACTTTGACCTGTACTAAATATATATGGAATAAATCATTACAATTTTTATTGATTGTCTCATAATATGATATAAATTTAGAAAAACAAATTATTACCCCAGATTTTTAAAATATATGTAAAATCATACATATTTAAAGCTTTTTAATTTTTTGTATTTGTGTTTGAACCATCAGAACAAGATTTGGCAGACTCAAAGCTTTCTATGGACCAGAATGTCACTCTCCAATTTGACTTTCACTTTGAATCTCTTTCTATTGTCCTTTATAACAATGGCATCAACCAGGTAAGTAGTAAATTTCTGTATTTAAAAATAAATCCTCAACTCATGATATTCAATTTTAGAATACTGGCATTTTTTTGATGTGGTTATTCATTAAAAAAATAAATATGTCTCTGAAATTCTATTTGGACTACAGAATATACATTGCTCTTGCTCTCTGTCTTCACTTTGTTAGTGTTTCTAATACTAGTAGGCTAAGGAAACATTTTGGGTTTTTTCCAGGTAACATTAGCACTAAAACATTTAGATCCATCACTTGTATATGAGTGATTAATTATATGCACAAGTTTACTACATAACTAGATATAAATGCATCTATAACTGTTTAAGGAGAATAATAGTGGCTTTGGAACCTTAGGAGATTATTTTAAAATTCATGATTATCCATGATATGTAAGCATTAATTGTTTCTATTAAATAAATTTTGTATGTAGTAGATATGTATTCAGGATACTGATTAATGAATTGAAGAACCAAGGTCAAGTACCATAATGATTTGAACTAAATAATGTACTGGTGGTATTTTAGAAAGCTATTTTTTATTATGTAGATAGTGTCTTTTAATAAACATTTTTGGTTATATCAAATTATATAATACTCATAATACATATGTCATATAATACCCATAATTTGTATTGATTAATACCCATAATATATGCTGATTATGGGTATTATATCTGTTGTTAATGGCCATTTATAGGTTATCTTACATTTCATATTGTTTTCTAAAAATTATACAATACTCATACATTGTCATTATTGAACCTTGTACAGATCTGTCATTTGTTCAATGAGCTGCCTTAATTTCTAATGTTTAATGTTAATGAAAAGATCAGAAAATTACCTCCTGGAAAATGAACAGTTAAATGTATTCTTCATTTTACTTAAGGTACCATCATTCTCCTGGTTCCCCAGCTTTAGAATGTATGTCTTCTTTTACTTCCTTCTTTGTTGACCTTTATTTATTAGACACTGGTTACTGTCAATTTTTTCTTTGAGTAAATATTTGTTCTTTTGTATCAGTTCTCACTGCTGCTTTATTTGAAACTGCTTAGCTCACACTTAGAGTACTGCAGTGGCTTCCTTGTTTGTTGCGCTTTTTCCTTTCTTCCATCCTAAACACTGGCACAAGTTCAGTTTCCTAAATGAATCTCATGTAGCCTTTTTTTTTTTTTAAGCTGAGCCATCCTGCCACCTATTGGCAGCCCAGCAGAAGCTCAGCTCAGGCCAGGAATCGAACTGGTGACCCTTCTGCTCAGAACTCGCACTCCTGAGCGAGCTCTTAACCAACTGAGCCACTCAGCCAGCCAGCTTCATAGCCATTTTTAACTTCCCATCCTACTTTAAAAATCATTGTGTTTTGTGAGTTTTAACTTACTAAAAAAATTCAGTGGCTCCACAATGTCTATGTCAGTAACTGTACCACAAACATAGTATATTGTGATTAGTAGATGTATCACAGGTGATTTCTATTAATAGTTACAAATCAGAAGTTTGTGAATTATTTCCATTTTTATAAATTAAAGGCATTCCAAGTTTGCCAATAGCAATGTTATTCTGAGTCACTTGCATGCAGTGTTACTCGCTTGAGTGAGAGGAGATGTGGAGTTCTAACATGTGTGCCAAGATTTGCACATCACCAGTGCGGCTTATATGAATGCCACGGTCTGTAGTGAACAATTATGACTAATGTTCTTAACGGAAGGTTTTTTGTTTTTTTTATTGTTTGTTTGGGTTTTGTTGTTTTAAAGTCTGGGCATACCTACAGTATTTGGAGCTGTGTGTTTGCTGAAATAAAGGCTGAGGTCCTTTTTCCTATAAATAAAATTTTAAATGTTTAGTTTAGAATTTGAGACCTTTATTAGGCCTCTATGTTTCTTTCCAGCCTCATTCCCTACCATTCTTTCATTGGACTAGTCAAGCCTAATGCAGCCTGAACCTTGGGCCTTAAGAGCATCTTAAGAATTGTTTGCTGGGCCGGCCTAGTGGCACATTGGTTAAGAGTTGGCTTGGGACGCCAGCTCTGAGCTGCAGGGCCCCTTTTCGGATCCCACAATGATGCTGCACCCTCTACAGCTAAGATGGTGAACAACAGCTCGACCTGGAGCTGGGCTGCCCTGAGTCGCTGGCGACCGAGTAGGCTGCAGTGGGGCTGGCCAGCAGTGGGCGTGCACTTTCGTGAGCTGTCTTTTGCGGCTGTCCAATGGCCAGTGACCCATCTGCCTCACCCAGGAAGAGAGCAATGATAATATCAATATGGGCCAGTGAAGCGACGTCCTCCACAACTAGACTGAAGAACAAAAGAATAGCAACTTGGCTGTTCCCTTTCTTCAATTCCCCAACGCTGTTCTCCTCCCCCAATTCCCCAATAAAATCTTAAAAAAAAAAATTGTTTACTCGTGTTTTTTCCCACCTAGAATGTCTTCTACCCTCTCTTAGCCTGTCTGATCCCACTAAGTCTCCAAGTTTCAGTTATGTTCTTATTTTCTTCATGAATTTTTCCAAGTCTACACTGATCTTTTAGACCCTCTGAACTTTTGCTGTTTATATTCTTTACCTAATCATTTAATATCCTTTTTGGAATATGGGAGGATATAAGTATGAATAAATACATGACTACATGTCATTTGTTGATCATTTACAACTTACAGCGTCTCCTTTTGATGTTCCTTGAAATGTATTTCTATTTTGTTTTTTCAGTTAGGTTTTAAGCTCACTGAGCTCATGCTCCGTACCTTACCTTTTCTCATAAACCCCATAGTTCCTATCACAGTGTTTGTTACAGAAAAGCTCATTAAATATTTATTAGTTAGATGGATTGATTGACAAAAATATTTCCTCGTTATTTTTATTTGCATTGAACTGTAAATTAGATAAATTTTTATATATTAACTGTTGTTGAGGATCAGCACACGCATGTATTTATTTGTATATATATATATATATATATATACATATATATATATATATACTCACAAATGTGCATATTATTCTCTGTTCTGTTTTTGTGTTTTAATACCCATACTTTAAAATTTGTGGTACTGATTCGCCTTTAATCTCTTGATTAAGAAATATGTTTACAAGTAATTATATAATATTTATAGGTAATTGATTCTTTTGCTTGAAAAATATACCACAGGAATCCAAACTTTCATGTCATAATGACAGTCTCCGGCTTGGTGAACTCAGACTACATCTGATGGCCTCCTCAGGGAAGATGTTTAAAGATGGCTCAATGAATGTTGGTATTAAACTTAAGACATGCACCCTTGATGATCTTCGAGAAGGCATTGAAAGAGCAACATCAAGGTTTGTCATCTCTGAATTTCCTGTACATTATTTAAGGTTGACATTGCACCTGGCGTTGCTACCAGGCATTGATTGCTAGGCTGGGGATTATCAAAAGAGGTCTTTGGCCATACTGCAATTTGAAGAGTATCAAGAAGTAGTGCTAATATCAGATTCAACTGCTTTAAAGTTTGAATTAAAAAGGAACTTAGTAATAAAATGGAGTACTGTTTTAAAAGTAGGAACCAAGATAATGTAAGAATTTTAATAGTTAAATCCACATGGGGTGGTCCGTTGGCAATATATTTTTTCAAATTGTTCCCAGTAAGCAGAATCTTTTTCAAAAGCCTTAAAATTATAGCTCTTTCCTTTGTTTTGTTTTGTCTATAAACAGTTCTGTGAAATTTCTTTCAAAGTTGTAATAGAAGTGGAATTCCTAGCATTTGCGCATTATCAACCTATTTTGAAACATTAACTTTGATCAACCTGCTATGAACTTCAATACCCTAATTATATTTTTATTTCTTTCCCAAATAATGAGACACATAATATTTTTGTATTTGATGTTTTTTGGAGAAAAGCTATGCTACTACCTATGTTTGGACTCCGTTGAATACATACTGGATACTTTTGAGCCCTTTGTTTTTCTAAGGGATGAATAAATGACAAAAGAGCGCTATCATGCAGCCAGCTTTTCTAGTTTTCACATTTCACGTTTGGGGTTAGCTGTCCACAGCTATGTAGGCAAGGGTAATTGAAGGCCCTCATCTGTTTGGTAGTCTGCTCTTTCCAGCACGTGTGAGAATGTGTGAGAGCTATCATTGCAGACACTTGATAAACACTGGCTCATTTGAATTGCATTGAGTACTTTTGGACTCAAATTATGTAGGATGATGTTTGGATAAATTCCTTCAAGGGGGTTTTATTTTGTAAAATAATGTAAAGAGGTGTCTTTTAAATTTCATGTCTTTTAAATTAATTATTAAATAAATTAAATTTAATTGCCAAAATTTATTCTATCAGTTATTGATTTGTTTTTCTAGTATTGCATGGTAATTATAAAATAGTTTGTAATTGCTTAATAGCATGAATCTTGCTGTAGCGATTAGGAGACCATGTCTTGGATGCTAATTAGCTAATTAGACTACAGTTAACACTGACTTGTTTTCTGTTCAGATTAGAAACTGAAGGGTGAAAGAAAGATTATTAAGATATATAGGAAAATTTTCATCTTTTTAATTATTTTAGCCGGCATAAAATCATGAATTTTTTTTTTTCAGAATGATTGATAAGAAGAATGACCAAGATAACAGTTCTATGATTGATATAAGTTACAAACAAGACAAAAATAGAAGAAGTCATATTGATGCTGTTCTTGACAAGCTGTATGTATGTGCCAGTGTGGAATTTCTGATGACTGTGGCAGATTTCTTTATCAAAGCCATGCCTCAGAGTCCAGAAAGTATGGCAAAAGAAGTACAGATTCCACTCCGACAGACTTCTACAGCAAAAGTCAAGATAGAGAAAGGTTAGCAGAGTTTACCTTTCATACATGACATCTTATATATTTTAACAAAAATTACAATTAGGAAAAAAGAGAAATGGAAAATTTAAGAATATAAAATTACTTTTTCAAATTTAAACATTTTATAGATAAATTTTGGTAAACATAGATTTTTATGAAAGAGGCAGAGTAGAAATATATATAGGTTTAGAGGCTAGGAAACCTCTGCTCTGGTTTCAACTCTGCACTAATATTTCTTTACTCATCCAGAAATAGAGGGGATTAATCTTGGTCAGTGGTTGGCAGCCTGTTTTACAGAAGGGGAGTCTTTTACTCGTAGAAAATATTTATAAGAATTATAGTGTATTGAAGAGCAGTTAAACAGATAAAAACAGAAGGGGGGTATTGGAGGACAGCATGATGCCCTTAGACATCACCTGAGACTCCTTTAGCTCCAGAGTGTTTGCAGATGTCTGGTCTCACTGTATGCTGAAGCTATTTCCGTGTTCTCTGAATTGTTTATTCCAGCATTACCAAGTAGATCAGTGATTTTATATGTTAAGTTATAATCATCTAAGGTCAGGCATTTTTCTCTCTAATGTATGCATGTAACTCAGCAAGGTTGGAAAATTACCATTTACTTGCAAGGTCAGAATTTTATTTTTCCATTTACCTTTCTTAAACAGTAACCATATCTAATATCTCTGTGTTTATTCTATAGATTGTATGACACTGACTATATACTTTATGGCAAAATCAATGTAAACAAATAATGGTCTGTTTATTTTATCAGAGTCACTTACCCTCTTCCTGATATTCTCCTCTCCTGTTTTCTCCTTCTTGCCCCTGCAACATAACCTAATACACACATATGTGTATATATGTGCACACACCTTAATTCTGACAAAAAGAACTTCAAAACATGAATAGTCCCGCTAGGTCAAAGTGGCAATGATCTTCTTTTGACAGGGATCAGCTTGCATTTCCTGCACAGTTAGCATTTGTTAATAATCATTTATCATTAGTATTTATCAATCATTTATTAGCATTGTTAATTTCACCATATCGATTAAAGTAGGATGTTAGAAACAGTTTAGCAACAATAGATGGCATGTACTCAAGTGACAAGATTTACTTTACTACAGCTTCTTTGGATCTTATTTTTGTTTCTTTAGATGATGCTATAAGACCAAATATGACTTTAAAGGCCAAGATCACAGATCCAGAAGTGGTATTTGTTGCCAACCTGACAAAGGCCGACGCTCCTGCTCTGACAGCCTCTTTCCAGTGTGACCTTTCTCTCTCGACATCCAAACTTGAACAGATGATGGAAGCTTCTGTGAAAGATCTTAAAGTGCTTGCTTGCCCTTTTCTCAGAGAAAAGAGAGGAAAAAACATTACCACAGTAAGAATCACCTGATATCTTAAGCTTAGATTGAAGAAATAGCAGAAATGGTTGATTCATAGAATCCTAGAATGTGAGAACCCTGTTGGTCTTGAGAGATTCCTTACCATAAACTTGAGGTTTTACAGATACGGATATTGAGTTCCAAAGATGTCAAATGATTTAGCCATGGCTGCTAGTGACAGAACTAGGACTACCTCCAGACTGGTTTTCTTTCTATTATACTGTCTTCTGTTGCACCAAATTTGAATTTTAGTACAAATCAACATTCTTTTTCAGCTGTTTTCTTTTGTTCACCAAAATATATGTAGTGAATTAATGAGTATTAAAATCTTAAAGCTTATAATGGAAACATTCAGTTGAAGTCATGTGACCAAAAGAGATTGTGTTTTGCTGTATTAAAAGCTATCTTCAATTATATTTTCACATTATTGTTGAAAAATATTATTTTAGTTAATGGATATAGTTACCACACCAGTTATGTTTTAATGTGGAATTGATAATTTTATGTTAAAAGAGGATCAGTTTGTTATGTGACTCATTTGCAGTGTTGTTTTATCTTAAGAATATTTGTGGACAGAGAGACTTGCATAAAGAAATGCAGTGCTTGGCTTAGTCTGTATTTTCTCATGAAACATTCTTCACTAGGACCATCTTCTTTTGATATATATAAAAGCTCTATTAATCACTCCATTAAAAGCTTGTTCTAATGTTTTTAAAATGAAAGTTTATGCAGTACTAATTCCCCCATTCAATTTAGGTGCAAGGTTATTTTATTTCTTTAATGATATATGAGAATACAGGCTTTATAGTTTTAATAAATCATCGAGTTTAAAAGTTTGAAATTTATTCTGATAAGGACCTTATATTATATTCAAGACTGGCCTGTTACTAAGCAATCTGGAAACTGTTCATTTACTTACCTTACCGTAGTCTTTTTTTTTTTTTTTAAGGTGTTAACAGATCTGCTTGTTGAAAATAACAATTTTAAGTGATTTAGTGGTCATAAAAATTATAATGTCATGCCAATTTCATTTCCTCAGGTACCTCTTTGCAAATGTAAGCCCTTATTATAGTCTTTAGCTCATTTTTCTAGATATCTTAAAAGTGTATTTTACAGAGGACATCATTTAAAAGACATTTTAGCAAAAGGAACCATTTTAAACTTCTAATAGTAAATGTGCATCATTACTTAAGAATTTGGCATAAAGGAATTGATCAGAACTGCTTAAAGTCCTTTAACAATGTTCATTGGCTTGTCATAGTTAAGAGGAGCCCTCACGAGAGATTCTCAGCTAATTTAATTTGTCTTTTTGCTTTTAGTAGTAGGTTATAGTTAAAGATCTCAAATTAAGACATGTTCTTGTGTGTGTTACATACACAACAGTTTTATTACTAAGGAAATGTGAATTTCATTTATTTGTTTTTAGGTGTTACAGCCCTGTTCTCTATTTATGGAAAAATGTGCATGGGCTTCAGGAAAACAAAATATAAATATTGCAGTTGGAGAATTTATAATTAAGGTGAGTGCCTATTATATTATTTGGGTGAAAATTCTTATTTTTCTAACAATATTTTTTTATTTCTCTCATAACTAGACCATTATATTAGTCATATATTCAGTTATCAATAAATACCTCTAATATTAAAATAATTTTTCTTTAATGCAAATATTTCTATTTTCTTTGAAAGAGTACTTTTAAATTTCTACAGATGATCAGGATAGTTTTTATCAATCACATTTGCATGTGTGTGTTGGGGAGATTATGTTTTGGAGGGAGAGCAGAGATGGAGTAGGAAGAGAAGGGAAGGAAGGATGAAAAAATGAGATTTTTATTTTATTTGTAAGTGTTTAGGCTTTTATGTATATTTTGATTGAAATTAATTACGTGATTGTCTTATTTGGCTTATATTTGTAATGACAGCTGCGTGCTATACATAAATTACTAGGATTTACTTATTTTTATATCTTACATTTGAAGTATTGGAAAAGCAGTCTCTGTTCTCCAGTGGCATTCATATTCTTTAAGTTGACCTCGTGACCAGTTATAAATGGAAGATGTAGATATAGAATAATGCCTCAAGTCTATTTCTCTCTGTGTCCAAAGGACACAAAATTGAGATGTCTAATACTAATTCTGATAGCTTTACTGTATAGGTAAATAGCCAAGAGTGATTAAACCAAGTCTCTCACTAATGTCATTTGAATTATCATGAAATAACAATGCAGTTTTCTCTTAATATTTTAAAATTCTAGATAGTTTAGATTTATTTTAACAGATTTACTTTTTTAAAGACTTAAAGTAGCAAATGAGGGGAAAACTTGATATTGCATGAACTTTGTGTAAGACACTAGGATAAGGTGCTGGGGGGATTGATATTTGTATATCTGTTTATTTAATTAACAAACTTTTTGAGCTCTTAATATGTATGAAAAGTGTCCTATACAAGGCATTGGAGATACAGGGTCCCTGCCTTCAAGAAACTTAATGACATGAGAGAGAAAGAAGTAAAGCAGTGACTCCAGCTCTCAGTGCTAGAGGCATGCACAAGGTGCTGTTGGGAGCCCAGGCAAGGGCTCTAACTCAGGACATCAGGGAAAGCTGTCTGGAGTGGGGTTACTTGAACTGAGTTTTGAAAATCTGAGGGAGGTTAGATGGAGAGGGAGGGCAGGAGTTATCCACATAGAACCAACAGTGTGCACAAAGGCAGAGGTGTGAAAAATCCTTTAGGCACTTAGAGGGGTACCCATATGGCTAGGAGAATGGTGTGGTAGAGTTGTAGGATTGAGCACACTGATTATCGGGAGCATTAATAAGACAAGGAAAGAAAAGAATTTAATTGACAGGTAAGTTTGGAAAGCATTGCATATCAGATCCTCCTTTTGCTGATATAATATTATCTCTTTAGCATATTAAACAAGTAAGAGTTGTGAGAATGAACAATAAAGGAATGTACTTATTTAACTGAGAATTGCTCAAACTTTGAGAAACCCTGGCTAGCTGATTATAAATAGCAGGTCATAAAGAGCTTTGTGTCCTAAGCTAAAAAGAGTTTGCATTTTATCCTGAAAGTTATGGGAAGTTGTTGAAGATTTTGAGCATAGGAACAACATGCCCATATTTGGGTTTCAGAAAAATCATGTTGGTGGGAACGTGGGGAGAGTGGGCTGAGAGGGTGATGACTGGGTATAGAAGGCATTGTCACTCTAGTACTAAGTAAGGCACAGTGATGGGAAAGAACAGGTGAACAAAGATGCTATCCAAAGATAAAAAGACGTAGAATTTGCAAATCTTGGGGTAAGTGTAAGGGGATTCATGGTGATTCTCAGGCTTTCTGTTTCAATAAGACAAAAGAAAACCATGTATGTACATCTTAATGAGGACCATACACTTTGATTTAGGTAATGCAGCTGGTTGAAAAATGAAAACTTCAGTTACACTTCTACATTTTTCTGGTCACATAAAATTATTTTACTCTGAATTGTAAATGTAACTGTGGTTTCAACAATTGACATATAATAATGCATACTTAAGTCCAGAGTAATTTGAGCAGAAATCATTATTATGAAGTTAGTTGACTTGACACATGATTTTGTGTGTTCTCTTGTTTTCCTTAGATAAGAAGTTTGAATATTTAAAATTTTAATTAGTTACTTTTTGTTTTTTAAAATTGGGGAATTGGGGGATGGGAACAGAACTGGGGAATTGGGGGAATGGGAACAGACAAGTTGCTGTCCTTTTGTTCTTCAGTCTAGTTGTGGAGGACGTTGCTTCACTGGCCCAAGTTGGCACCATCATTGCACTCTTCCCGGGTGAGGCAGATCAGTAGCCGGCTTCTGGGCGGCTGCTCACTGCAGCTGCTGGCCTCTCACTGTGGCTGCTGGCCGCTCACGCTGGCTGCTGGCTACACACGGTAGCCCATGGCAACTCACTGCAGCAGGGGCTGCAGCCTATGCCATCGCTGGTGACTCATGGCAACCCAGCTCCAGGTTGAGCTGTTGTTCAGCATCTTAGCTGTGGAGGGCAGTGTCACTGGCCCTCATATGTGGGATCTGAACCAGGGCCCTCTGGCGTCCCAAGCCAGTTCTTAACCAATGCGCCACTCGGCCCTTAATTAGTTACTTTTAAACTTTTGTATTATGTATTAATTATTTTCATCTGGGAAAGTTTATTCTAAAAATTTTTCTGCTTTCTTTTTAAAGATTTCACCCATAATTCTTAATACTGTGATGACAATCATGGCTGCTATGTCTCCAAAGACAAAAGAAGATGAATCCAAAGATATATCTAAGGAAACGGAAAATCTTTGGGGTGTCAAGTCTATTAGTGATTACAGCTCTTGGTTTCTTGGTGTTGATATGGCAACAGAAATAACAGAAAATTTCAAAGACACTGAACATCGATCAACAGAGGAAAATTGTACTGTTATTGTAGAGTCAGTTCAAGTTACCTTAGAATGTGGACTGGGACATCAGACTGTACCTTTATTATTGGCAGAGTCAAAGTTTTCAGGAAATATTAAAAATTGGACTTCCTTAATGGCTGCTGATGCTGACATGACTCTAGAGGTATGACACATCATTTAGTACCTTCTGAATCAACTTTTTAAAAATATAGCTGCAGAACTAAGATATGAGCTTTTTCCTGTTTGTGCATGGCCATAGGATATATATGTAAATAGATTCTAACATTTAGTTTGCTGATGTGTTATTTATTTGGTCATTATTTTTTAAAGATTCTTTTGCTAAATAATTTGACTATGGCAATAATTTAGAGTAAAGGAAAATGCACCCTCTTTATATTCTTTGTGTCTTTAGGTGTGCTGTTAAAATGGCTATTACGTACAACATTAATTACTTAACACTTTTTCCTACTGATTGTACTAATATCTTGTTCAAGTTGAAAGACTCTCTTATTATAATTTTGTGCTTTTCCAGGTTCACTATTACAATGAGGTCCATGCAGTTTGGGAGCCACTGATTGAAAGAGTGGAGGGGAAGAGACAATGGAATTTAAGGCTTGATGTAAGGAAACCATAAAATATCATTGTATAGAATGACACCATGCACATTTCTTTGTATTTTTTGGTGAAGTGATTCTCAAGATGTGGTCTAGATTCCTTGAGGCCCTTGTAGGGGGCCTAGGGGGGTGAAAACGCTTCATAATAATACCCAGACATTACATACCATTGTCATTCTCATTCTCTCATGAGCAAGAATACAGTGGAATTTTCTAGAGACTAAGTGATATGCAACAGAATTAAAGCAGAAGCGGAAATGAGAATCTGCCTGTCTCCTCTTAAGGAAGGCATTAAAGAGATTTGTAAATGCCCCTCTTCTTACTATGTATTTTTTAATAGTTATTTTTCATTAAAAATATCTGTTAACTGTAATTGTTATTTCTAAATGAATATTTAAAAATTTCTCAGTTTTAGTTTCTACACTTGATCTTAGACAAAAGGCTGAAAAGCAATATGTTTAGGTTTCTGATAGAGTACATATTGATAGATATGATCTACATAAAATGAAGCTCTTTGGGGTCCTCAGTGATACTGAGATCAAAACATTTAAGAACCACTATTTTAGATTATGAATTCTTTTATGTTATTTCTTCATGGTACTTCTTGAGAACACTTCAGAATCCTAGATACCCAAGAACATTTTTCTAGATTTAACAGGAGCATGAGTTATATATCCTTAACAAATTATCACAGCGCACCTCTCTCGGGCAGCCTGACTGAAATGTGAGATGCTGAAATGGATTCAACAGATTCTTATTTTAAAGATGAGAAGTCACTTAGCCTGTGTCCCAATTTCCTCTCAGTAAAGTAGAAGTAATTTACCTGTCCTAGTCTCTCTGGCAGAGGGAGGCTAACAAAGAATGTTTTTACAAGGCTTTTGAAATGCTATTGGAACAGAAAACAGTGATAGAATATGATGGCTGGTTGAAAGCTTATCGTATTATTTATAGGTATTACTGGTCAAAAGTAGAAGGAATTCCAGATATTAAACTCCAGTAAGGACCAGTTTAGACTTTAGGGTCGTCTTCGATTGCTTATCAACACATAAAGACTAGTTAGTCAGGCAACACTGGGCAATAGCTTGCTCTGGGGAATGCACATGAGACAAATATAGTAGCTGACTTTGAGTGCTTTCATGGCACAGTTCTAAACATTTCTCCATACACTGACTACACACTAAAAGAAAGAATGCTGATCTATGCTAAATCAAAGTGGAGCACTGAATATTGTTGAAAATGAGACTTGAGGAGCCTTAATATAAAGTGACCAGTTTAGGAGAATTTAACTCTATTGAGAATATTTTTATTTTATTATCAATTGGCTAATAACTTAAATTTATGTTATTTATCCTCGTAGGTAAAGAAGAATCCAGTCCAGGATAAAAGTTTGATGCCAGGAGATGATTTTATTTTTCTCCCTGAGCCACAAACAGCAGTTCATATTTCTTCAGGAGATACAATGAATATAACGATATCCAAAACTTGTCTTAATGTTTTCAACAATTTAGCAAAAGTATGTTTGGTTCTTCTTTGGAATATTTCAAAAGGGATTTTAAATTGAATAATGTATGGATTATTTTTGTTTTTAATCAAAATTAGTTTCTGAGAAATGTGTAATCAGTTCCATTTTTTAAAAAATTTCATTTTGCAAAAATTTTATTGTGATGTGTTCTTTTTCAGGGCTTTTCAGAGGGCACTGCTTCTACTTTTGATTACTCTTTAAAAGACAAGCCTCCTTTTACAGTAAGAAACGCTCTAGGTGTTCCCATTAAGGTACAACCCAATCATAACCTCAGAGTAATGGGCTCCGCTGAGAAAAATGATATTTATGATGTTGATGCTGGTCAGAATTTGGAATTAGAATATGCCAGAATGGAGTCTTCATGTCAAGGGAAACGATCTGTATTGACCCGTCAAGAAAGCTCCTTCTTCACTATGACCTTTGGTATGCTGTATTTATTTTATTTTACAGGAATCTTTGCAATTGTTGGTATGGGCTTATTTTTGACAAAATATGAAAAAATATTTTGCTATAGATATCTTGGGAGACAACATTACTAAAGGGTTGAAACAAATAGCTAGTAAACTCCTCTCTTGTTTTCTTCCTCTAAACTTGAGAAAATTAAACTTAGTAAATTTAAGAAATACCTTAGAAAACTAGATTATTTCTATGTTTTTAAACAGTACAATATGTGATATGCTTCAAAACGGATGGGAGTTCAATGTGGAGAGAAAATGACTATATCAGATGTCCTAAATTGACAGTAATTACCACCATTACAAAGAAAGGGCGACATTGTTCCTATATAGTTGAGGGGATAAGTAATAAGTTGGATTTTGTTGGTTTTTTAAATACATTCAGAACCCCAAGAAATATTGTTTGGGTCCAAACTATTTATAATAATAACTTCTTTCTTTTTTAGTTCCTGTGTCTTGGACAAGCATATTGTATAGTCATTTCTAGACATGAGGGAGAATACTCTTCTCATTATTTTGAGGCGCTGATGATTATTCTGTCTTAGAGAAATATAGTTAAATTAATATTTGGAATGCTTCTCACTTGTGCTCTGCCTTAGTACCTTACGGATATACAGAAGTTGCAAAAATCCCTATTGCTAGACCTGGTCGGCAGTTGTATAATGTACGGAATCCCAATGCCAGTCATTCTGACTCAGTGTTGGTGCAGATTGATGCAGCTGAAGGGAATAAAGTAATCACCCTTCGCTCTCCTCTTCAGGTAATGCGTTAAAGTGAACTGTGTCTCTTTAAGTATATTGAGACATATTAAATTATTTAGCTAAATATAGGAATATAGTAAAACTGCATTAGGTCAGTACTGTCGAAACCGATATTCAGAAGTAAATAATAGATTGAACTGGCTGCTATTTGCTATCCAACTTGCTTTTGTAATATTCTTTATTTTAAATGTCTGATTCACAATCTTGTTCATTTTAAAGCCAATTTTTCTTGCCTCCTCAGTTTAAAATTAATGAAGCTTTTTGCCTGTTTCTTTAAAGATACAGAACTGAGCACTATTATATCATTTGGTTGTCAAATAGGATAAAAGTCCATTCTCTTTGTATATCTGTTGGGATTGAATTTTTCAAGTATGCATGAAGGAATATTGGAATGATCCCCCCTGAAAATAATTTAACATCTTATTCTATATATTTTCTTTTTACCTTTAAGATGTCATCCATTTTTTTTTTCCCTTTACTGTGCATTATTACAGGTTTCAGTGTGTGGTCAGCAAAAGAAATTTCTTCGTACCTATAACATCAGATAAAAATGAAAGAATTTCAAATTTTGGCCATTGTTAGCTCTCAGTTTGCTGTTACCTCCAGCTTATATCACATTGTAGTCAAGAGAGTTGTACTGCTTTTTCTCATATTTTCTTTTTTATCCTTTTCTGTGTAGTCACATAGTGCTTTGAGAAAAGTTTCTAATGGAGAAAATATTATGAGATCTTCAAAGATTAATACATATTATTTGAAAGATTTATACACTAACAATACACATCAGCATGTAATACATATATAGAGTATGTGAATATCCTCATAATTTTCAACTTCCACTTAAACATCAAGCTTCATATATATATATATATATATAGCATTTAAATGGTCTAAAAATTTTCAGTTACCAATAAAAATATCTTTCAATATTGGGATTGAAACTTTTTATATCTAAAAGTAATTTTGTGTAGCTCACATTTTTCTTTGGAATTTCTACATCTTTTTAACAGTGTATGTCTTTTTGTCCAACAGATTAAAAACCATTTCTCTATTGCGTTCATCATCTATAAATCTGTTAAGAATGTTAAGCTATTGGAGCGTATTGGAGTAGCAAGACCTGAAGAGGAGTTCCATGTTCCTTTAGATTCATATAGGTAGATACTTCTTTGACTATATTAAATAATATATATTTTTAATTCTAGGAATTGAGGATTTATATTCTAGAAGATAACCTCATGTTTTTATTATCTAAATATCTGTAAAAGCCAGCTTTAACATATATATGTAGTTATAGAGAAATACATTTATTTATATTATTGAATTTACTAGATGAAAATTTGTTGTGTATTTGATGTTTTAGAATTTTCTTAGACCTATTTTTATTAGATTGTATTTGAAATGACTTTTTTTTTTAAGTTGTCATTGATTACAGGGAGGTGTTTTTTTTGTTGTTGTTTTTTCCCCAGAAAGTTCCTCCATCTGTTAGCATTGTAACTTTTGGCAAATTTCTTAACCTTTCTTAGCCCTGGTTTCCTCATCTGTAAAAGTAGGGATAATGTACTTACCTTGTAGAGTTATCAAGAAGATTTAGTGAGATTCTTTTTCTTACGTTCTCAATAAAAACTTTTTTTCTCACCTTGTTTTCTTTTTCTGTAGATGTCAATTGTTTCTTCAGCCAGCTGGTATCTTAGAGAATCAGTATAAAGAATCCACCACTTACATTTCCTGGAAGGAAGAACTTTACAGGAGCAGGGAAATCAGATGCATGCTGCAGTGTCCATCAGTAGAAGTCAACTTCTTACCACTCTTAGTCAATACAGTTGCTCTGCCTGATGAATTAAGCTATATATGTACACATGGGGAAGACTGGGATCCAGCTTATGTTATTCATCTTTATCCTACCCTCACTTTGCGGAATCTTCTCCCATATTCCCTGAGATATTTACTTGAGGTATGTCTCTTGCATTTTATTATTTCGTGGAGTGAATTCTAGTTTCCTTAATAGTATTTTTAGTTGAGGTCAGTGTTTTATGTGGCATACTTGTAATGCTTTAATAATATTAATAACAGCAAACACTGGTGTAGCACCTGTTATGTGTTAGCCACTATCCTATGTGTTGTACACGTGTTAAGACATTTAATCCTTACAATAACCTCCTGAAATAGGTACTATTATTAGACTCATTTTATAGATGAGGAAACCGAGTCACAGAGAGGCTAGGTGACAGGCCCCAGATCTATAGCTAGTAAGTTGTATAGCTGGAATTTGAGCAGAGGCAGTTTGACTCCTTGTTCCCTATCACCTAACTGCTGCATCTGCTATGAAGTAAGAGCCATAATAATCTCTTCATTTTATTTTTTAATATTTTTAAATTATAGTTGACATACAAAATAGATTATTTTAGGTGTACAACAAACATGGTGATGGGACATTTATATAACTTATGAAGTGATCACCCCAATAAGTCTAGTACCCACCTGACACCATACATAGTTATTACAATATTATTGACTATAATTAAGTAAAATTCCATTAGCTAAAGGGCATAAAAAAGCCAGTAAGAAAATATTTCATCTTAATTTATTCTAAAGTTAATTTTAAAGTTATATTTATGATTATTTGTTCCAAGTTTCTACTGAACTTTAAAATAATTACTGGCCATCTTAAATACTAGGGACCATTTTCTAGCAATGAGGTATGATAAATATTTTTAAATTTTGACATGTCATACTTTAAAATACAAAAGTCTTGAAAGTATATGGAACCTAAATTATTTGTTTTCTTTATCTGACAATGAGTGAAACCTGATGTTTAGAGACTAAAATTAATTAAATGAACTAAATAGTATTTATACATGAGAGGTTTTCAGTAAAAGCCTAATTTATTATGTTATTATTCATTTAAAAAATAGTCCCGCCTTACTTAGATAGCTTTTCAGAATAGTTTGATATCATTTTCCTTAGCCTGTTTATATGGGAACCATTAGGCATAGTATGTGAATAGAGGAGAAAGCTGAAGCCCACACAGTTAAATGGCTCATTTGATGGCATAGCTTTTAATGGACAAACAGCCAGGTTTCCTAAGTCTAGCCTTTGATTCTTGGTTGGGACAGATCTGATTTTTTTCTCAAAACTCAAGGCTATTAGCCTACGTATGGCTATGGCCTATGAATGGCCAAGAGACAATTTCTGCTTTTGGCTATGATGTAGTGTTTTCTTTTTAGTCCTTAGTGATTATCAGACATTCATAATACGTAAACATGGTACTGTATTGAAGACTTGCAAGTTAATCTGAATCAGTAGTTTATTTAACATTTGTATAAAATACGATTTGCTATTGCAAAGGTTTTTAATAAATCGCTAAGCAAATTTAGTTTTTGTTTGTTTCTTTTTAGGGAACAGCAGAAACACATGAGCTAGCAGAAGGCAGTGCTGCTGATGTTCTACATTCAAGACTCAGTGGAGAAATAATGGAATTAGTTCTGGTGAAATATCAGGGCAAAAACTGGAGTGGACATTTCCGTATATGTAATACCCTTCCCGAATTTTTTCTGGTGTGTTTTACTTCTGACTCCACAGAAGTGATGACAGTCGATCTGTCAATACATGTCAGACGAATTGGCAGTCGGATGGTGCTATCTATCTATAGTCCCTATTGGCTAATCAACAAGACTTCTCGGGTTCTCCAGTATCGTTCAGAAGATATTCATGTGAAACATCCAGCTGATTTCAGGGATATTATTTTATTCTCTTTCAAGAAGAAGAACATTTTTAGTAAAAACAAGGTGTGTTTTTGTTGATACAACAAGTGAAAATAGATAAATTCTTAATTTGGAAACTAGGTAGTCATCAACCTTCTCTAAAACCATGCTTACCCATTTGCTAGGGTGCCATTGATATGAATTAGGTTCAAGGAGACTTAAGGAATACATAATCAAGTGAGATGTTAGGAACTAACAACAGTAGTCTCCCAAGGCTGAGTTAGTTACCCTATTCTCTAGTGCCCCTAGAATTACTTTTGTTCTTGAAGTAGTGTTGGGTAGAAAGCTTGGTTTTAGGTAGTTTACCAGTGATGAAATGACATTTCAAAAGAATAGTTGAATTTGGTATATGTTAACTGAGCCTTTCTATGCATGAAGCACTAAATCAGGCCTTCGAGTGAAAAACCTAATGCCTAAGCCTGGTCCAGTATGCTCTGGTCCCTTTTTTTCTTTTCAGACTCATATCTTGGTATTGCGTACCACACTTCCCAAGTGCTTACCTCTAGATCTTTTTGTATATACCCCCTCTGCTTAGAATGCCTCTTCTCCTATGCTTTCCCTGTCTGCCTGATCTTCTCTGGTTATCTGCTCTTAATCCTTTGCATTCTGCTCAGGTCTGACATGTGTGAAGGATTTTCTGACCTTCTAAAGTATAGCTTGGTCTCCCATCCATTTTCTCTTAGAGTAGTGGTTGTCAGATTTAAGTGTGCATTAGAATCACCTAGAGCACTTTTAAAACAGATTACTGGGTCCTGCCCCCATAGTTTGATTCAATAGATCTGAGTCGGGCCTAATAATTGCATTTCTGATAGATTCCCAGGTGATGTTGATGGTGCTGGTTCAGGGACCACACTTTGAGAACCACTGTCGTAGAGTGTTCATTAATATTATACTAGTATCTGTTATTGTAGTTACCTGTTTATGTATCTGACTTCTTGTTGTCATCGGGGTTTTTTTTTATAGTCTAGTTGGGTGGATAGAGTTTAATACCTGAGCACAGTTAGGTCTCTTCTATAAAACTTTTATCTAAATTCCATAGTTAGAAGTAAACTCTTCACCCTCTCGCCTTGATAGCACTTTGTACCTTTTCTATGGCTCTTAACACATGGAGTCCTGCATCATAATAGTTATGTATTTCTCATCTCCCTGTTTAGTTGGAAGCTCATTGAATATGCAAACTGTGTTTCATTGTTTTCCATTCTGCTTATCACAGTGCCTTTCATTTAGTGTGTGCTGAATAATGTTAAAGGCATAAACTCTTTGTGTGTTAAAGCTTAATTTCTCAGCTCTGTATTATAAGTCTGACACTGGAAAATATCATTTTACATTATAATTCTTTTTAAAGCCACAGAGGGTCTCATTGGTATAAATGTTAAATTCACTATATTCACTGCACACGTGAATGGGAAGGTCAAAACTGTGCTTCTATTGTATTGGCCCATAGAGTTTTTGTGGTTCTCTTACCCATTTTCAGTATGGCTCTGATTAAATTTTTCTGTGTCCCATGATATTAAATAAATTTCTAGTGGTCTAGCAGCTTTCCAGCAAATAAAATTAATATAGTCTTTTAGGTTTAATATATGACGATATGTGTTCTCTGGTGTAGGTACAATTAAAAATTTCAACTAGTGCCTGGTCCAGTAGTTTTTCATTGGATACAGTGGGAAGTTATGGGTGTGTGAAGTGTCCTGCCAACAATATGGAATACCAGGTAAGATTCTGCTTGTTTATTTACCTTTGACTTTATTCACATTTTCTTCAGTAAACCAGCTGGATTAAGGGGTACAGAAATTTGAATTCAAAGTACGTGTTATGTGAAGGACTGTTATCCCTACAAATTTCTAGGGCCACTAGTATCAAGGCAAAATCAGAATTTGTCAAAGTTTAAGACAGTGAGTTGAATCCATCTAAGTAAGCAACTTGGTAAATATTCAGCATATACTAGAATCCTTGTTTCATACCAACCCCCGCCAAACATTTGTTAAATCTTAAATTTGACTGAAAATTTGAACAGCCTGATGTCAGTTGACCTGTTTTAGTACCACTTTGAAATTTTTATCTTGTTTTAACAGTAGAGATTTAAAAAGCAGCAAAACCTGAGCCCTACACTAATTATTAAACACCTTATATTTAGAATGTTAAAAAGTAAAAAATGCAAGACTGTTGTTACAAGTCATCATTTAAATTACCAATTGATATTTCTTGAAATAATTTCTGATGGATCTAAACTAAGAAACCCCAATTTTTCTTCTTAGTGAGAAGGTAATCTTTAGTGGAGTATAGTTAATAGGAGTTACTTTATTTAAGAAGTCTTATTTTAAAATATTTTAAGAAGCCTCTGTGCGAATGTGTGTGTGTGTGTGTGCGCGCGCGCGCGCGCGCGCGCCATAATGTACTTGAAAATGATAAGCTTTCCTTCCCACAGGTTGGTGTTAGCATCAAAATGAGCAGTTTTAATCTTACACGAATAGTTACTCTTACACCCTTTTGTACCATTGCAAACAAATCATCATTAGAACTGGAAGTTGGTGAAATTGCATCTAATGGCTCAATGCCAACTAACAAGTGGAACTATATTGCTTCTTCAGAGGTAAAATTTTCCTTTAATATAACTGGATCCTAAAGTAAATATAGACATATAAATAAGAATTGTATATACCTTCTTGTCATACTCACTTTGCTACCATATTTGTGTTAAAATATGACAGCCAACTTTGAAAGATATTTTTTACACTGTAAGTGTATGTTAAAAAAAGAAGAAAATTGTTGATAATATTTGCCACTAACCCACTGTTGATGGTTAACACTAATTCTTTAGTTCACAGAACATAGATATGTCCTGTGAAAAGTACATAAAGATAATGTACTATGTATTGTCTCAATAGTCAAGATAAAGCCTCTGTATTTAAAAAGTTTATATAACCTTGTTGGAGGGTTTAAGGCACTTACAAATTAAATCATGGAGAAAAAGATAATAGATGCTAAGTAACATCTTAGCAGATGTTAAGATGGTTGTAGAATTCCTGAATAGATGAGCTAAAAGTTTCCTTGAAAAGAACCTAAAATTCAACTCCCTCACTTTACAGAGAAGGAAATAGAAGTTCATACTTTTTAAGGTTAGTAAAATCATTGGAAGTTGAGGTCATTGTGGTCTAGATCAGAGCCGAAAGTTTCATAGAAGGGGTGGGATCTGAAGTAAACCTTGCTCAGTAAGATTTGAGGAGGTGAAGAGAATGAGGGAAAGAGTAGGGGAGAGGACAGGTGCAAAGACAAGCATTAGTGCTTGAATTTGCCAGAGTTTTGAACCAAACCAGCTGACCATAAGGATAGAACCATTCTTTTGTACATCTCAAAAAAAAAATTGATTCTAAAATGATTTTCAAACATACTTAGCAAAAAGCTCAAGAGGAAGGGTTCCAATTATAATAGAAACAAATTTAGAGCTCTAAGAGGCATGAGCTTTCCAAGACACTTAGAATAATCTCCTTAGATGTGGCCACAAATAAACACTATCTTTTTATCTTTGGTGTGGTTTTGATAGTTGTATTTTATTCAGAAATAGAATTTACCCAGTATTCTGTAACAGAGAAACATTTTCTTTTAAGGAACTAAAATCTCAGTTTTATAGAAAACTGATGCTCAAAGTGGTATATGATCTGATTAAGATCATCAAACAGCTAGGGAGATTATGTCAGGACTTCTAGCAATGTCTATGGTATTCTCTCCTCTGCCTTCTGTTGTCTTTCTGGTTAATCTTGGATAAGATATTTGGAAAGAATTCATAGTGCATTAAGGAATTAAAGTGTGATATGCACAAAGCAAATTGTTATTAAGATTATAGTTCTTAAATATTCAAGATATTTGAGGCATTCTTAATCAGTAAGCTCTTCAGCTTTTCATATTGTAATTACTCCAGAGAAAATATAGACTAATATGTCTACATTCTCCTGATCAAGTGTCTTTGATCTCATAGTCATTATATTGTCAATAATCTTAATATGACACGTGGAAGGAATATTTTAAGAAACTAAGTAATTGAATCACAATCACAATCAGATTTAGAACTGAAAACTTAATTAACTACCATCTTATTTATACCACACTATTGTTTTAAAACTGATATTAACTTTTATATTTTCAGTGCCTTCCATTTTGGCCTGAAAATCTGTCCGGCAAACTTTGTGTGAGAGTGGTGGGCTGCGAAGGGTCCTCCAAACCGTTCTTTTATAACCGACAGGATAATGGCACTTTATTGAGCCTAGAAGACCTGGTACGTTTTTATATTTTAAAATAAAATGTCTTTGATTTTTAAAATTTGCTTTGAAATATATTAAAACATGCCATAAAGTATAATTATTTTAAGAAACTACTGTATCAATATATAATGCCATATGTATATTTGTAAGAGATCAGAGCCATTGTGCTTTTCAATAAGAATTTAAGAAAACAAACTTTTTGTGTCTACATACCTGATTGGAATTCCAAATGTAAGTGCAGGTTAAACCAATTCCTCAACTGTACTTTTTTTCCCCCCTATAATAGAATGGGGGTATCTTGGTGGATGTAAACACTGCTGAACATTCAACTGTCATAACCTTCTCTGATTACCATGAGGGATCTGCACCTGCCCTAATAATAAACCACACACCATGGGATACCCTCACCTATAAACAGAGGTATGAAAAAAAGAGTTCATGGAAAATCTGATATGCTTTTACTGGTCCACAATTTCTTCTAGGAAACACTTGAGACTAGATGTGTTTCACGTTTCAAATGTTTTCAGATTTTAGAATGGTAATAAGAAACACATGCTGTTTATTACTAATACCCTCAGCGGGTTTTGACAGTACTCTGTTATCAAACACATTGATATGTCTGCAGCAAAACTTATGAATATTCATACCAATTGGGATAAATAAAAACTATTAATAGTCTCACATCATTTCAGATTAAGTTTTACTGCCAAATGACTTTTGACACCAAACTTACAGGAAAATCTTTGAACTTTTAGAGCTTTTTAAATTTTAGAATTGCATATAAGGAATTGTGAAACTGTTTAAACATTACTATTCTTTTGTAATCTGTTAATTCTCAGTGAAAATCCATATGTGTGTGGTTTTGTTTTTTGTTTTTTTGTTGTACCTGTTAGGGGTAGTAGAAGATTAAATGGGAGGAATTGAGTAGTTAGTGGTATTGAATGTATAGTACAGGCAGATAGGAATTTTGTTGGTCTTGCCTCTGCTGTCATTTGGTTTGGATGATGCCATTATATAATGACATAACAGATAGTTTTAAACCCTTACAATATATAATATATGTTTGTAAAGAATTATTATTATAAATATCCAAGGCATTATTTTATATAAAGTATTGAGTTGTCGGAAAAGTCATGATGCGTTTTTGCAACGAAAAACAGAAAAAATACATCATGACTATTCCAACAACCCAATAATTCTACATATGTAAATATTTATATATGTATATAAATATAAAATAATGCCTTACAGATTTACCTATATTAACTTGCGTGACTTGAATCCACTGAGCGATAAAAGTGCAGTTTGGGATTGAAACCTAACTGAGTTACTGTTTGCTTTTATTTAAAGTTCTCTGGAAATTTTTTTGTATTATGTAGACCATTACTTCTTAATCTTTAATGATCTGAACTATTTAAAAATATCCTGAAAATCTTGTTAAAGTGCATATTTTGGTTTAGTAGAGTTTAGGTGGGCCCCAGAACTTACAATTTTGCATTTCCTGCAAGCCCCCAGGTAATGCTGATGCTGCTGGTCCGCAGACCACACTTAGAGTGGCAACAGCATGGACCCCATTTTTTTTCTGCGGTTCATATTTATGTATTGCACTGGACTAAAAAGCTTTAACTTAAGCACTGAGTGAAGCTCTTCAGCTACTGTTCACAGCCTTTTTCACAGGTGTACTCTGACAGACCAGTCTGTTTGCCTTAATGAATTCCATTGATGTGATCTTGCCTGCATCAATTTAGAGTGTACTCTAACTTCAGAAAAGGCAATATTCTGTTCCCTCAAGCTTCAAAACCATTAGTTTACTGGACATTTTTAGGATCTTATTTTTAAACAGTGTTTTGTTGTATTAACAAAGGCAATTTCATAAGATTTTTGTGCCAATCTCCACTTCGATAAACCACAGGTCTAAGTTTCTCAATGCGAAGGTATTTTAATCTTCCATTGGTTGTTTTCAGTGGGTCACAGGAAGACGTGCAATTGCTGCCTGGACAAGCTCGACTTTTTGCCTGGGCAGATCCTACTGGTACCAGAAAACTTACATGGAGATATGCAGCAAATATTGGGCAACACAGTCTGTTAAAGGTATCATTTGATGTGCATGAGTGCTATATATTAGTAAAGTGAAAGGGGAGCGGAGAAACAATCTATTCTGTGCATACTTTATATACACCATTTAATCCTAAATTTTAATTAGATAAAAGAAACATAGATAAAAGATTATGATTTTTTTAAAAAAGCTATCAATTAATAGAACTAAAATCAGTGATCAAAGAATTTGAAAACAATTGAGAAAATGAAAATAAAGAAAATTTTGCCCTTATAGTAAAAGAAGGAACCTAAGGAAATATGTAAATGGCAAATACTTTTTATTGATTGTATATCATGTGTTAATGCTTATCATATATTATCACTAATTCTTATGATTGGAACTTAAAATTTCTAGTTAGAATTCAAAACCAAGTCTGTATGACTTTATAGCCCATGGAATTTTTCCACTAAACCATGCTTCCTGTCAGTTGTGTCAATAAATGAAAATGGTTTAAATTCTCTTATTAAAAGCCGAAAAACACACAGATTAATTTTTAAAATAGTATCTAACTATATACTACTTACAAGAAATCTGTCTTAACCAGACTAACACAGAAAGTTGTAAGCATGATGAGAGAGTAAAGATTTAACAGGCAAACAGTTGGAAAAAGAAAGCAAAGTTGATGATTTTAATTTCTGAATACTCAAAGCAAAAACCATTAAATAGAATATGATATGACAAAGAAGGCATGATAGCTGTAAAGCTTCATGCAATGAATAACATTGCATCAAAATGTAAAACTTAAAGTGCTGGAAGTCAACTGAAACACTTATCTGATGATATTTTAACACACCTCATTTAATTTTTAACATATCAAATAGATGAAAAAACAAATAGACTTAGAGAACATTTGAATAATAACTAAGACTGAACCAACATCATATTAAACTTTGTAGTTTGCAAAGAGAGAATTTACCTTCTTAATAGGTATCTCTGAAACATTTACAAAATTTGATTGCATATTAGAGTAAAAAGAAAATTGACTAGGCTACTTTGACATACGTTAAAAGCAATAGATACATTTTAAACAATAAAATTCAACTGTGCCTATACTCTTGGTAGCATCCTTTATTTATTTGTGTTTTGGGGTTTTGTTCCAAGAGCATGAGATGAAAAGCACGTAGTAGACACTTAAACTGCTTGTTGAAATGAACTGTGGTTATATTTATGTTAAGCCCAGAATGAAGGGGAATCATTTTAATCTCTGAAAACACTGACCAAATCAAGCCTCATGTTTTTAAGTGCTACATGAGACACTCAGCCAAGAAGGCTATTCTTAGTGAAACTCAGTACAAACGGATCACCATATTTTGACTATTTAGCAGAAGTGTGACTTATATAAATATTTGCAATGTTATAAAATATTAAAACCTAAAAATAAATTAGGTTAGTTTTACCTGAGGTTATTTTTCTAAAAAGCTTCCAAACCATTTTGTTGTCCATCTTGGATACAAGTAAGCATCGTATAGCATTGGTGCTGTTGAAGGATATTCTTATTCCTGCTAAGTGCCTTTTAAGCACTAACTAGGTAACTAAAAATAAGGTATAAAAAAAATTATGCACTAGCAATCATTATTACTGTTTGAAAAAATTGGTGAGATGTTTTGAAATAGGTTATTACTTTAATTTATGTCATTTTGATGGTTAGAGTTTTCCAGTTTATTGTCATGCTTTTTAAACTTTTCTAAACTTTCTTAGTTACTATAATTCAGCTTTATGTGATAAAAACTTACTGTTTGTTGGTTTAATATATAGTCTCTCTTTTCCCCAGGATGAATGTGGACAGTTTCCATATGATGCAAACATCCAGATACACTGGGTGTCATTCCTAGATGGGCGCCAGAGAGTTTTGCTTTTCACTGATGATGTTGCCTTGGTTTCCAAAGCACTGCAGGCAGAAGAAATGGAGCAAGCTGATCATGAAATAACCTTTTCTCTTCACAGTCTTGGGCTTTCACTGGTTAACAATGAAAAGAAGCAGGAAGTTTCATATATTGGGATAACCAGGTATGGAAGAAGAGAAGATAAGGTATTAGAAATCTATAAAAGACACTGAGTTCATAATATTAGATTTTATGAGAGTAAACAGATGCCTGTTCTGAATCTGATATACTGTACATTCTTTCAGGAAAACTTGACTGAACAGTTATTTTCACTGCTAGTGAGAAACCTGTAGGATAGAAAGATGACTAAGATAATGCCCTTACAATACTTACCATCAGTTGATGGGGAAGAAAGAGGTTTGGCTTCTTTCTTTGTTGTTTGTATGTATTTTTCTCAATGAACTATAAAAACACTGAAAAATGCTACAAAGACGTATGCATAATGCAGTGGAAATACTAACTTGTTTTGTGCAGTAGAGGCTGTAGAAGCTGGCATAGGTGAGGAAAAGCCAACAACAGTGGGTCTGATAAATTGGAAAAAAGGTTCATAGAGGAGGCAATATTTGACATGGGTATGTAATCATTAAATGGGTGGTTATTTAGAGCTTTATAATAGTGATGGGACCAGTTATTTTCTCTAGTTCTTCTTATAGCTGCATAAGAAAAATATTTGAATTTATTTATTTTGTTTTTTTTCAATCACACTAACTTTGGTAAAAGACTTTTTTGGAGCCTGATGGGTGGAATGGTTAACAGGAGACCATGTGTAACCAGCATAGATCTATCGATAATTGTGTTTAGTGAAATAAAAAATTAAATAAAGAGATCGGGTATGTAATGCACTTTGCACAACACCTGACAGGTTAAGGGTTTTAGAAATGGTATTACACATACCATTAATATAATATTAATACATTTATGTATATATGAGTAATATATTCTCTTGGTTATTCATTTCAGTATTGTATAGTGTTTTAAACTAAATATGAAAATCATTTTAAAGTCATATATAATAAATCCAATTTCTCTACTCTCTTGATCTTTGCTATAACTTATTTCTATTTTAATATTATATATGCTATTATAGTATTTGTCAGATTGGCCTTTATTTATAAGGACATTTAAAAACTTCATCTAAAAGAACTTGACTGCCTTTTTTGTGACACACTACACATTCAGTACACATTCAGAAAGGATGTGTACTGAGGAAAAGTAAGTCAGTTATATAGTTTTTTTAAACTAGACTTACAGTAGTTTTTTGAGCAGTTTTAGGTTTACAAAAAAACTGAGTGTGAGGTACAGAGTTCCCATATACACTCCCCCCAAGTTTCGTCTGTTATTAATGTCTTGGAATAGTGGGTACAGTTTGCTACTATTGATGAACTAATATTGATAACATTATTATCTCAAGTCCCTTGATTATGTTGTTTATGTTAGAGTTGCTCTTTTTGTTGTAAATTGTATAGGTTTTGACAAATGTATAATAACATGTATCCACCATTACAGTATCATATAGAATAATTTCACTGCCCTAAAAATCACCTGTGCTCCACCTTTTCATCCCTCGTCCCTTCCCCTGAACTCTGGAAAACCACTGATCTTTGTACTGTCTCCAAAGCTTTACCTTTTCCGGAATGTCATATCTTTAGAATTGTATAGTTTGTGCAGCCTTTTTAAATAGGCGCCTTTCACTTAGCAGTATCCTTTTAAGGTTCCTCGTGTCTTTTTGTGGCTTGATAATTTTTATTTTTTTCACTGAATAATATTTTATATCTGGCTGTACTATAGTTTATCCATTTACCAACTGAAAAACATCTTGGTTGCTTCCATGTTTTGGGAATTATGAATAAAGCTACTATAAACATTCATGTGCAGGTTTTTGTGTAGACAAAATTTTCAAATCTTTAGGTAAATATCAAGGAGCATGATTGCTAGATCATATTGTAAGAGTATGTTTAGTTTTATAACAAGTGCCAAAATGTCTTCGAAAATGGCTGCACCATTTTGCAATCCCACCAGGAATGAATGAGAGTTCCTGATGCTCTACATCCTTGCCAACATTTGGTGGTGTGTGTTTCAGATTTTGGCTTTTCTGATAGGTGTGTGGTGGTATCTCGTTGGTTTGATTTGCAGTTCCCTAATTACATATGATGTTGGGCATCTTTTCACATGTTGAACTGCCATCTGAATATTTTCTTTGATGAAATTCAGATTTTTGCCTAGTTTTAAATTTTATATTTTTTTATTGTTGAGTTTTAACAGTTCTTTATATATTTTGGGTAATAGTCTTGTATCAGATATGTGTTTTGCTAATATTTTTTCCCAGTCTGTGGCTTGTCTTTTCATTCTTTTAACAGTGTTTTTCATAGAGCAGAAGTTTTTAAATTTTTTTTTTTTTTTTAGTTTCAGGTGTACAAAACAATGCAATAGTTACCCCTTTCACCCCTCACAAAGCGATAACCCCACTCCCCCATCCACTGCCACCCCACCCCCGATATCATACATATCTATTACAATTCCATTGACTCCATTCCCACACTATACTCCACATCTCATGACTACATGTATAGAAGTTTTTAATTTTAATGGAATCCAACATCTTTTTTTTTTTTCTTTCATAGATTGTGCTTTTTGGTGGTGCATCTTAAAAGTCATTGCCAAACTCAAAGTCACTTAGTTTTAACTATGTTATCTTCTAGGAATTTTATAGTTTTGTGTTTGATATTTACACCTATAATCCATTTTGAGTTAACTTTTGTGAATTGTGTAAGTTCTGTCTAGATTCAGTTTGTTTTTGCATGTGAATCTCCAGTTGTTTCATCATCATTTGTTGAAAAGACTGTCCTTTCTTCATTGAATGGCCTTTGCTCCTTTTGAAAGATCAGTTGACTGTATTTGTTTGGTTCTCTTGATCTGTGTCTGTTCTTTCACCAGTACTGCACTGTCTTGATTTCTGTAGTTTTATAGTAAGTCAGGTAATGTCAGTCCTGCAACTTTTTTCTTTCCTTCAATATTGTATCGGCTGTTTTGAGTCTTTTGCCTTTCCATATAAACGTTAGAATCAGTTTGTCGATATCCAAAAATAATTAGCTGGGACTTTGATTGGAATTGCATCAAATCTGTAGATCAATTTGGGAAGAAAGACAATCTTGACAATATTAAGTCTTCATATCCATGTACATGGATTTTTCTATTTATTTCAATCCTTGATTTCATTCAGCAGACTTTTATACCTTTCCTTGTATAGATCTTGTACAGATTCGCTAGATTTTGTTTATACGTAAGTATTTCATTTCTTTGATGCTGATGTAAATGTTACTGTGTTTTTAATTTAAGTTTCAGTTGTTCATTGCTGGTATATAAGAAAGCAATTGACTTTTCTATATAATGTATCTTGAAACTTATTAGTTGCAGACATTTTTTTGGTTGATTCTTTGGGATTTTCTACATAGACATCCATGTCATCTGACAACAAAGACAGCTTTATTTCTTCCTTCTCAGTCTGTGTATTTTTTACTTTATTTTCTTGTCTTCCCACATTATCTAGGATTTCTTTTTTTGTTTTTAAGATTTTATTGGGGGAGGGGAACAGCGCGAGGAATCGGGGGAAGGGGAACAGACAAGTTGCTGTCGTTTTGTTCTTCAGTCTAGTTGTGCAGGACGTTGCTTCACTGGTCTATGTTGGTATTATCATTGTGCTCTTCCTGAATGAGGCAGATTGGTCACCAGCCTCTGGACGGCTGCTCACTGCGGCTCTTGGCAGCTCACGCCGGCTGCCAGCCACACACGGTAGCTTATGGCAGCCCATTGCAGCAGGGGCTACAGCCTACGCCATTGCTGGCGACTCACAGCAGCCCAGCTCGAGCTGTTGTTCACCATCTTAGCTGTAGAGGGCAGTGTCACTTTGTCACTGGCCCTCATATGTGGGATCCGAACCGGGGCCCTGCTGCTCAGAGCTGGTGTCCCAAGCCAGCTCTTAACCAATGTGCCACTCGGCTGTCCCTGTCTAGGATTTCTTGTACACTGTTGAATAGGAGTGATGAAAGTGGACATCTGTGCTTTGCGCTTAACGTGAAAGCATCTCGTTTTTCATCATTAAGTATGATGTTAACTGTAGGTTTTTTGAAGATGTCCTTTATCAAATTAAGGAAGGTCCCCTCTCCTTATTTTGCTGCAGAGTTTTAACTGTGAATCAGTGTTGGATTTGTATAATTTATAGTAGATATTTTATTCATTACCTTCATTGACTAGTGTCCCCTAAACACATTATATAGTGAAGACATTGTTAACACTGTCATTGTCTAATTAATATCAACAAGCTATTAGATGAAAATATTATGAAGTTATATTTCATCATTATGCAAACAGTATAATGAGGAATTAGCAAAGTATGGCCATGAGCCAAATCTAACCCACTGCCTATTTTTGTTCAGCCTTGATCTAAGAATGATTTTTTGTTTTTAATGGTTGAATAAAATCAAGAGAAAAATAAAATTTTGTAACATGTAAAAAATATGTGAAATTCAAAGTTTGTTGCCCCTAAGTAAAGCTTTTTCAGAACATAGCCTTACTTATTTTTTTATATGTCTGGCCACTTTTGCACTGCTGCTTGGTGCACAACAAATGACCGTGATGTAGTTGTAACTTGAGTGTTTGAGTTACAACTCAAACATATAGTTAGTTATACAATGGTACCTATTCATCCATTTTTTGTCTTTATGGTTTTGGTTACCTGTGCTCAACCATGGTCCAAAAATATTAAATGGAAAATTCCAGAAGTAAATAATTTATAAGTTTTAAATTTTGTGCCATTTTGAGTAGCGTCATCCCCCACTGTTCTGCTCTATCTCACTTGGACATGAACCACCCCTTTGTTTGTTCAGTGTATCCATGCTGTATATGCTACCCATGTGTTAGTCACTTAGTAGCTGTCTCAGTTACCAGATCAGTTGTCATGGTATCGCAGTGCTTGTGTTCAAGTAATCTTTATTTTACTTAATAATGGCTTCAAAGCATAATAGTAGTGGTGCTGGCAATTCTGATACTCCAAAGAAAAGTTGTAAAGAGCTTCCTTTAAGTGAAAAAGTGAAAAGTTCTCGAATTAGTAAATAAAGAAAAAAATCGTATGCTGAAGTTGCCAAGCTCTACGTTAAGAATGAATCTTCTATCCATGAAGTTCTGAAGAAGGAAAAAGAAATTGTGCTAATTTTTGCTGTCTCGTCTCAAACTGCAAAAGTTACAGCCACCGTGCATAATAAGTGCTTAGTTTAAATGGAAAAGGCATTAAATTTGTGGATGGAAGACATGAACAGAAAATGTGCTCTGTTATCATTTTTGATTGACTGCAACATGTTGCTGCAGAAAGCATTTAGTCTATATGAAGACTTCAGCAAGGGATCCCCTGAAATGAGTGACACCAAGCCATTTACTGCAAATAAGGAGGGTTACACAGATTCAGGAATACGTTCGGACTGAAGTATATGAAATTTACTGGAAATGCTGTGTCTGCCAAAGAAGAAGCTGCTGCCACATTTCCAGCAAAGTTGAAGTTGGTTAGGGTTTGGTACTATCAGCGGCTTCAGGCATCCATTGGGGGTCTTGGGATGTATTCCCTGTGGATAAGGGGGGGGGCTACTATATTGTAACTTTTTTTTTTTTTTAAGATTTTTATTGGGGAATTGGGGGAGGGGAACAGTGTTGGGGAATTGGGGAAGGGGACCAACCAAGTTGTTGTTCTTCAATCTTCATTGTGGAGGGCGCCAGTGGCCATCTGGCTTCCCGTCGGCAGTTCGTGGCCTCTCAGCTCAAGGTGCTGTGTCCCATCTTAGTTGCGGGTGGGTGTAGCCACCATACCATGTGAGAGTTGAACCAGCAGCTTTGTTGTTAAGAGCGCACGCTTTATCCACTGAGCCATCTGGGTGGCAGCTCAGCTCAAGGTGCTGAGTTCAGTCTTAGTTGCGGGTGGGCATAGCCCACCATCAATAGGCAATCTTGTTGTTACACCAGCTGAGCCATCCTGCCACCTGTTGGCAGCTCAGCGACAGCTGTGCTCAGGTGCAGCATCACTGGCCCATGTGGGAATCGAACCAGGGGCCCTGTTGCTCAGAGCTCATGCTCTTAAGCCAACTCTTAACCAACTGAGCTACTTGGCCAGCCCTGTATTGTACCTTTTATTTATTTTTTATTACTAATACATACTCATCATGTCAAAGCAGAATGAGAAAAGTAAACTTGAAATGTCTCTCTTATAAAGCAGTTATCAAATGAAATGGCAAAGCATTAGTTTATTATGTAATGAGACTACACCTGTGCTAAAAGAAAACAAATGACATTTCCAAACTAAGCATGCATTCACAATATACCTAACTCACATGCAAGCAATGGCCAAAAAAATTAGAAAATTTAAGAGAAAATATCTAATCACCACAGATTTTCTTCAGAAAAATAAAAACCAAAAAATGAGGCTGCAACCAAAGTTGGTTTCTCAGTGAATCATTTGTTAGCCAAGCAAGGAAAGCCTCTTACCAATGGTGAGTTAACTGAGTAATGTGTGATTATAATAGGTAAAGAAATGTGTCCAGAGAAAATAAACTTAGGACCATTAGCCTTTGTGAGAACATTTGCTTGAAGAATTGAGGACATTCAGAGCAACATCAGTAGTCAACTAAAAAACATGGCCAGTGATTTTGAGTGGTTTTCCTTGTCTCTTGATGAGTCAACAGATGTTACAAACAGTACTCAGTTGTATTTTGAGAAGGCAGTGCTGAGTGTGAAATGACTGAAGAATTAGCCTCTATGAATAGCTGACATAGAAAAACTACAGGTAAGACAATTTTCAAACCAGTTGAAGAAATACTAATTCATTACAACCTGAAATAGAATTTTCTAAGCCACATTACACGTGATGATGGGAAAAATATGTGTGGAACAGAAAAAGACTTAGTTGGACAAATTCACAAAGCTTGTGACAATATAGCATTTAAAGCCAACATAGTTCATTTTACTGTTTATCAACAGGTACTTTGTAGAAAGTATTTGAATTGATCATGTATTATCAAACTAGTAGTGTCAATTAGTCAACTTCATTCACTCTTGTAGACTTAACTATCATTAGTTCAGTGAATTATTGTCAGAAATATTGTACAAGCTGAATGTCCTGAACTATCTTACCACGCAGTTTGACGGCTTAAAGGTGATACTTTTTATTGCATTCTTTTTGAGTTCTGGGCCAAGATTTTAATTTTTCTGAATGAAAAGAACCACCCTCAAGCACTACTGTTGAAAACTGAATGCTTTGGAAATTAGCTTTTGCTACAGAATTGATGATAAATTGAACCTAAATGAAGACAAATCATCGCTTATTTGCAAAACTTACATTACATAATTTGATAACTAACATTTGAACCACAATGTCAGGCTGTTTTATATACTTCCTGTGTTGCCCACAGTTGAAACAAGAAGCGAGATCTCCATCCTCATACAAGTTTAGAGCAGGTATATTTTATGACCTGCAACTACAGTACTATCAACATTTTTTCCAACATCAATGCTAGTGGAAAAGAAGTTTCCACATTTCAGAATCCACTTAACTGAGTAATGAAGAGCTTCTGCCTAACCTTCGTTGGAAGTGATTGATATGTAACGTACTGACATGCTTCAAGGCAACTGTCAAGAGCAGAATATGAGGTGTGACAATTAAGTTCGTGAACTCGTTGTAATGATGTTGCTAACCTTTTTTGATATTCATTATGAATTTGTACCAACTGGACAAACAGTTAACCAAGTTTACTATTTGGAAGTGCTGAAAAGGCTGCATGAAAAAGTTAGATGACCTGAACTTTTTGTCAACAGTTCATGGCTCTTGCATCACAACAATGCACCAGCTCACACGGCACCATCTGTGAGGGAGTTTTTAGCCAGTAAACAAATAACTACTGGAACACCCTCCCTACTCACCTGATCTGGCCCCCAGTGACTTCTGTCTTTACCTGAAAGAAAGGAAATGTTGAAGACATTTTAATGACATTCAGGACATCAGGGTAATACAACGACAGCTTTGATGGCCATTCCAGAAAGAGTTCCAAAATTGCTTTGAAGGGTGGACAAGGCACTGGCATCAGTGCATAGCTTCCCAAGGGGAGTGCTTCAAAGGTGACCATAGTAATATTTAGCAATGAGGTGTGTAGTACTTTTTCAAGGATGAGTTCTCAGACTTACTTGTCCAATCTTGTATAATAGAGTAGGAAATAGAATTTTAGACTTAGAATTTTCTAACAGAAAACAAGATTTTATAAATGCATTTCAAGTAATACATATACTCAATGAAAATAATATTCTCATAGATTGATATCCCTGTTTGGCAGTACCAGTCTTTGTGAAAGGATAGTTTTAAAGATGCTCACTGCAGATCAGCATAAACAGATGAATATTTGCAATGGATTTTGATAACAGGGAACACTAACTTTGAGCCCTTAATTAAATGAAATGTTGTCACCCCACAAAAGAAGTGTAAAAAAAATCTTTTTGTAACTATGTATGGTGATAGATAGACTTACCGTGGTGATCGTTTCATGGCATATACAAATATCCAATCATTATGTTGTATACCTGGAACTAACATGTTTAATGTCAATTGTACTTCAATAAAAAATTAATAAGTAAAAATGTGTATTTTTCTCATTATTCATAGACTTATGTTTTTAAAAATTGTACTCAATTGGTAGTTTTATATTTTGAATTTCATCAATTAAAAATTTTGTGGAAGATTTTTTTCCCTCTCTCTTGTTATTTAAGTCCCTACATAATAATTTCCACTTTGTCTCAGCTCACAGAGCCTAAAATATTTACTATACGACCCTTACAAAAAAAATTTGCCAGTTCTTTAATTGAATGTCAACTTGTGATAGAAAAACATTTTCCCCTGCCTCTTTTTCTTAGGTTCTTTTATAACACAGGTATATTTTGGTGTTTAAAAATACATCTTGTATAAATATAATTTTCATAGGAGATTGATAGTTGCAATAATTTGGAATTGAATGACAGTTCCACAAACCAAAATACGTACTCCTAATTTAATTTTTTTTATGAATTATTTTAGTTCTGGTGTTGTTTGGGAGATGAAACCAAAACAGAAATGGAAGCCTTTTAGTCAAAAGCAGATAATCTTACTGGAACAGTCCTATAAGAAATACCAAGTAGCTAAAGAACATGGCTGGATTAAACTTGACAATAATTTTGAGGTATATCATAATTTTTTGGTTTTAGTTTTTACGTATATATTTTGGTGGTGGTGGAGGTAAGTAAAGTTTTATTATCCAAGTAAAAATGTGTGTGTAGAAACTAACTTATTAGTAATAAAAACTCTTATTTAGTAGTAGAATTGTCATGACTAATATTTACTAGTATATTTTAAATTAAAATTTTGTGTTATTGAATCATACTGTTGAAGCATGATTTAAATGTGTTTCTCTTGCATATTTTTATAATTCTGTTTATAAGGCAGATAGTTTCATGGAACTTGTTTTTTCAGTAAGATTGTGGGGAAATTAAGATTGCTTGAAACCTTTCTTCTTATATTTTGAATGATACCTATATATAGTATTGCTAAATGAAGGCTGTGAAAAATTATATATTACAATGATGAAAAACCTATAGAAAACTTGCTCAATTAAATTAAATATGTAAATGATTGTTTGACGTCGGTAGATGTCCACAAATAAAGGTGTACTTGACATAGGTCCTTACAGTGTTGAAACTGAAAGTCACTTTTTCCCCAAGAAAACCCCAAAAACTTAACTAAAGTTTCGAGCTTGTTTTGGTTCAGCCATATCATGTTGGTTTCTCTTTGTCTTTAACATCTGCTGGTTGAGTTTATACCAGAAATGCTCCCCACTCCCAAACCCATCCCCATAAATGTTGGCTATGCTCCAATGAAAAAAAGAAAACAATAACTCTGCAATAGTGTCAGATATAAATAATATATCAACTGTTCATTATTTAACTTTGTTAAAACAAAGTTTAAGAATTTTCTAAAATTATCTATTGAGGTTTTTAAAAAATATGCAGCATGGCTTATTTTCTTTAAGTACAGTTTATATAATTGAAAAGTTCTCCAGTCTTGTTTTCCTAATAACTTTGGTACAAAAGTGATTATTTTGCTTCAAAGATCTCAACTGTAGATCACCTTAAGGTAGATCTTTAGGTGAGACAGAGAGTTTAAGGTATTTTGCCTTTCAAGTAGTGAGTAAATGAATATTTAAAATGGGCTACACTACTAATACCAGCTCATCACAAAAACGTGGTTTTTTTTCCAGGTCAATTTTGATACAGTTCCAATGGAAATGCGTCTCCCTATTCGGTGCCCTATAAAGCGAGATTTTTTATCAGGAATTCAGATTGAATTTAAGCAGTCTCCTCACCAGAGAAGTTTACGGGCCAGGTTGTATTGGCTTCAGGTAATGTTATCATCCTCAATTCAATGGATATACAAATGGTCCCCGACTTAAGATGGTTCAAATTATGCATTTTGGACTTTATGATGGTGTGAAAGCAGTACTGATTCAGTAGGAACCATATTTTGAATTTTGATCTTTTCCTGGGCTAGCAATATACTGTAGGATACTCTTTTGTGATGCTGGGCAGCAGCAGCAGCAAGACACAGCTCCTGGTCAGCCCCTGGATCAGGAGAGTAAACAACTGATACTCTACAGTGTATCATTAAATGCATTTTCAACTTATGAAATTTGTCAGGATGTAACCCCATTGTAAGTGAAGGAGCATCTATATCTAATAAATTTGGGAATCTTGGGGATGAAATTTTTTTTTATAGCGTTCTAACATACACTGTAATTGATGTCTTTCTTTTTGTTTGTATGTTTATTCCCCTTCTTCTATGTATCCTTTGGATTTAGCATACTTACTATCCAAGTCTAGAGTCCTTGGGACTGTTGAGACTATTGAATTTGACTACTTAGCCTGCAAGAGTGTTTTCTTGCACTGAAATTGTTATTTTTAAATATTTCTTTGAATATGTCATGGGATTCTCAAATAAGATTTTCTTTTGTCATTCTACATGAGAATGAGCTGGTCTTTATTGGAGGTTGTGTTGACTGCTTGCTTGCATGCTCTCTTCTTCCTTCTCTCCCTTCCTTTTAACTACTAAATATTATTTTTTTAAATTCTTTTTTCTTTATCCTCTATCCTTTGATTTCATGTAGTCTCTGCTTACATTTTATTTAAACCATAGAAAGTTGAAATCCCATGTGATCTGTAGGTACAAGTATTTCCATTAATAGTGTACATGCTGCACAATGTTAATGCAGTTATGAGGATATTTATATATTCCTTTATATAAAAAAGCTTGTCCTTGCTGAGATATATAAGAATTGTAGATTTAAAATGAAACTTCTAATAGTACCACATATATGTACAGCTACTTAGTTATTAAATTATCAATATATTCTATAATATTGTCTCTGAAACTAAAAATTTAAATTTAAATTATTTTAAATCCTGCTGAGTTAGTTTTCTGTTTTTTTTTTTTCAGATTGATAATCAGTTACCAGGTCCACTGTTCCCTGTTATATTTCATCCTGTGGCCCCTCCAAAATCCATTGCTTTGGATTCAGGTAAAAAACAAAAACCAAAAAATAAGTTGAGATATACCTACCCTATTTATAAAAATTAAGTAAACATTATTTTTACCTAGTATAAAGCTTGATTGCCTTTTTATTTTTTTTTTTAGAGCCCAAACCTTTCATTGATGTGAGTGTCATCACAAGATTTAATGAGTACAGTAAAGTCTTACAGTTCAAGTAAGTAAATAGTCCCTTATTTATCTAAAGGAATTTAAAATGAGAAACTACTTTGAAAATAAATTTTATTCTTTTGAAAATGACTTTTATATAAAAATTATTTCCACCTGAATATATTAATGTACTTTTGGTCAAGTAATTTTCTATGTTGAGACTTATTTTAATAATAGCCTCTACATCATATTTTAAAGTATAAAATTCGTTCAACCACCTTCTCCCCTTGTAACTCCAATTAGAATATAAAAATAGTGAAATATAAATGACGTATGCATTTGTGAGGTATGTTTTTTAAAGCAATTGCTGTGGAGTTTAAAAATTGGATAATATGTGCTATATTATCTAATTGTGTTTGTTTTGTAGCATGTTACATGTGGGATTTGGGACTTATTCTAATTTTTTTTTTTTTTAGCTGAGCCATCCTGCCTCCTCTTGGCAGCTCAGCTCGGGCTGGACTCGAACCGCTGTTGCTCAGAGCTCAAACCTTTGAGCGAGCTCTTAACCAACTGAGCCACTCAGCCAGCCCAAACGTGTGTGCGTGTGTGTGTGTGTGTGTGTGTGTGTGTGTGTGTTTAGCTGAGTCATCCTGCCACCTGTTGGCAGCTCAGCGGCTGCTCAGCTCGGGCCAGGACTTGAACCGCTGTTGCTCAGAGCTCAAACTCTTGAGTGAGCTCTTAACCAACTGAGCCACTCAGCCAGCCCTTGGATTTGGGACTTTAAATGCTAAGTTTTAATATAGCAGTATTACCTTGAGTGAAATTTTCACTTTTATGAAAAAAATCTCAGTGTAAGTAGATTTGATTTTGTTGACATAGCACTAAGAGATGAAGGAACGAGATCTTACTGTGGCTTTTGGCTAAAATCCAAGTTTTAACATTGAAAATTACTATGTTTGATAGAAACCCTTTCCCACCTTTAAAATTTTTTCCCTCAGGTATTTTATGGTCCTAATTCAGGAAATGGCCTTAAAAGTTGATCAGCAGTTTCTGGGAGCTATACTTGCACTGTTTACCCCAACAACTGACCCTGAAGCCGAAAGAAAACGGGTACAATTTTTATTTCTTGGGAAAATTATAAAATAAAAAAAAATAAATCATCCATTCTTTGAAATAACTGGTAGAGAAAGTAGAATAGAAATTTTTGATTTAATCTTTTTCAGACAAAGTTAATCCAGCAAGATATTGATGCTCTAAACACAGAATTAATGGAGACTTCACTGACTGATATGTCAATTCTTAGTTTCTTTGAACACTTCCATATTTCTCCTGTCAAGGTTGGTTATAATTATTATTTTGAAAATTTGCAGAATTGTAGAACTTTTAAAGGGTCTGTGTACAAATGTGGGTTTTAATTTGTTGCATCAAATATTTGATGGGAATTTTGTTTGATTAATTGAAATAATTAAGACAATTCTCTGAAACATATGTACAACCATAATTCCCACAAAGAAACCACCAGAGCATGTTCTCTAGTCTTGAATTAATAACCCTTTTATTCAAGGAAGAAGCTGACAAAAGCATTTCTTAATTAAGCAAAGAAGTGCTCACCAACGTTTAATGTTTTGGTGCACTTTGTAAGTACTATCACTGTCTAAACAGAAAACTATAATGGGCGCCCTTACCAGAATGTGAAAACGCTGAAGTAGGTATTATACTGTTGATGTGGTGTTTTTCACCCTTCCAACATTTGATTGTAACTAAGGGAGTGGAAAATTGGATACCTTTCACTTGCCTGATTTTGTACTTTATGAACCCATTTCCTTTTCTCCTTTTGTTGTTCTTTTTAGGTTTTATAGGGGAAGGTGACTGCTTAGGAAATTCACAAATGCTATCAACCATAATGCTGTAAACTTGTGTAATGAGCCAGATTTACAATTAAGCAACTCTTTAAAATATTGATGATCCTTTACATTCTCAAAAACTGTTTACAAAGCATTATTTTCAATTGCATTCACCAATTCATTTAGCTAAATGAGGGATTTAAAATAATTTAAATTGACATATTAGTTTGGTGGTATCTGATATATTGATAGTGTTAGCTTTAAAATCGATAATTTATGTGGTAAGTTATACACAGTTTCTTTTTTATTAAGTGAAAGTCAGTTATTTATGAGATTGAACTATACCTTCAACAAATATTTTTTGAATGCCTACTTTTAAAGTTGCTGTAGGAAGTATAAAGTGACTTCATGGAGTTTATAATCTAAGGGAGTATTAAAGATTGATAATTGACCTATTCATGTTTTTAGGCACACTGGAAATTGTGCCATGAAGTTGAATAATTAGGATCATGAACCATAGTTATTTTCCTATTCCATGGTAACTTAGTCCTAGAGAAAAGCTGGATCTCTATTCCCCTAAGCTTACTATTCCTGGATCTGAACATTCTCTTGACTCTGCAGATGGACAAAAGTCCACATCAAAGAAAAGCCCAACAAGCAGGCTCTCCTGGCCTTACAAGTTTGCTCTGTTGAGCTCTGTATTGGTTAGGTCAAATGCCTAGGGAAAGGCAGAATAAGAAAGGAGAGTCATCGGCTCTATTTTCACAGGTAGAATTACCTTTTGTGTGTGTCTTCGGGCACTGTTGCACTAATGATGATACACCACACAGAGAAGAAGAAGCTAAAATGGAATGTGAAAATCGCATGTTTAAGTAGTGAGTTGAAGAGGTCCATGGAAGCTGAAAATCTTATTACTCTTTAAAAAAATTTTTAGCAACTGCTAATTGTTGCCATAATTGCCATGTTATTATTACTTGTTATTGTATAATTATAATAAATTATTAATTGTTGCCATAAGTTATTTACGTTAATTGAATGGAAATAAATGATTATCCATTATTTTGACAGTAGATTACTTTTATGCCATTTGACATGTTTTTCTTCTTAAAATGATTGTGCTACTTTTGTAGAGTGTTTTGAGCCACTTCGTATAAACAGAATGGTATTTATACACTTTGAATAAAATTATAACTGTAAATTTGGGACAAATTTATATTTCATGGAAAATTAAATATGAGAATCAGGTAGAAATGAGCTATTCTGTATTATGTACAGAGTAACAAAGAATAGCTTTCTCTAGGACTCTAAATGAAAGATACAACATTTGTTTGTATCTGAAAGACCTGGTTCTTGTGTACGTAAATTTTTTGTTTTTAGCTTTCATTTATTGAATATTTTTCTTTTAGTTGCATTTGAGTCTGTCTTTGGGTTCTGGAGGTGAAGACTCAGACAAAGAAAAACAGGAAATGATTGCAATTCATTCTGTCAATCTGCTATTGAAAAGCATAGGTGCTACTCTGACAGACGTGGATGACGTTATATTCAAGTAAGATTTTTATTAAAGGACATTGGGAGGCTTTTGTACCAAGGTTATGTTTCTAGATATTAATTTTCTCCATTTGTGCTAGAACAGTAGCTTAGAAAAATGATAATTCTTACTACTTATAGTTGAAGAGTTTGGTCCCTTTCTAATTATTCTCTTTTGGTATGCTTTTTTTACTCATAAAGATAAGGGAAAGAGTCTTAAGAAAACTTAAAGAGTTTTCTTCAGTTATTCATATCTAGATAATATATCAATGTAGAATAAAAACTGAATTATTTTATATATATATATATATATTTAAATTTTATTGAGGAATTGGGGAATCAGAACAGCGCTGGGGAATTGGGGGAAGGGGAACAGACAAGTTGCTGTCCTGTTTTTCTTCAGTCTAGCTTTGTGGAGGACGTTGCTTCACTGGCTCAAGTTGGCACCATCATTGTGCTCTTCCCGGGTGAGGCAGATCAGTCGCCGACTTCTGGACGGCCAATCACTGCAGCTGCTGGCCTCTCATGCTTCCTGCTGGCTACACACGGTAGCCCATGGCAACCCACTGCCACAGGGGCTGCAGCCTACGCTGTCGCTGGCGACTCACGGCAGCCCAGCTCCAGGTTGAGCTGTTGTTCAGCATCTTAGCTATAGAGGGCAGTGTCACTGGCCCTCATATGTGGGATCCGAACTGGAGCCCTCTGGTGTCCCAGGCCAGCTCTTAACCAACGCACCACTCGTCTGGCCCCTCAAAATGAATTATTTTAGTAGTATATTTTATATTAACCATGTGTTGTTTTTTTTTAAATTGGGGAACTGGGGGAGGGGAACAGACAAGTTGCTGTCCTTTTGTTCTTCAGTCTAGTTGAGGACGTCACCTCACTAGCCTATGTTGGCATTGTGATCATTGCACTATTCCTGGGTGAGGCAGTCGCTCCGCGGCCATTGGACAGCGGCTCTTAGCAGTCACACCGGCTACCGGCCGCTCACGCTGGCTGCCAGTGACTCACAGCAGCCCAGCTCCAGGTCGAGCTGTTGTTCACCATCTTAGCTGTAGAGGGCACAGAGTCACTGGCCATCATGTGGGATCCAAACCCGGGCCCTGCTGCTTAGAGCTGGCATCCCAAGTCAACTCCTAACCAATGAGCCACTCGGCTGGCCCCTATATTAACCGTGTTTTAAAACAGAATTATATTTAGAAATATATAGCAATAAGGTGAGATTTCAGTATAAACACGTGGCAAAGTATAGATATTAGCTCTGTGCTACATCTAATAATGTTTATGTGTGCTTAGACATATATAATTCAATGAGTGTTTATTGAATTGAATATTCATTAATGGTATTGGAACAAGTAGTTACCTTGGGGAAAAAAAGTCATTTATATTCTTTCCACCTCTCTTGTATACTACCAAATTTCATAGCACTCAAAGGATTAAATATAAAATTCAAATTGAAAAGACTAATAAAAAAACCAAGTTAATTGCTATCAAATCTCTGAATATAACAAGTCTAAGTTTAAAAACAATGGGAAAATTCCCAATGGAAAACACAAAATAGATTTGATTATATAACAATTAAACACTTTACAACAGAATCAATGAAAATATTTAAAAAACAAAGAATTGGGAAAATATAATGACAAATATGACAGAGCGAGGATGAAGGGTCTTAATATTAAACACTGATGAGAAAAACCTAAAGATTCCAGTATCATAATTGATAGAGGACAATAAGAGATAATTTACAAAAAGGAAGATACAGTGGCTGATAGATATTTGAAACATTCAGTTTTATTATTTATCAAAGAATATATGAAAATTGAAGCAAACTATCAAAAACTTCAAATATGAGCAATCCTAGTACAGGGGGTAGGGGTCTGAGAAATGGGAACTTTTTAAAAATAATTTTGAGTGGAAAGGGATATATGAGTTTATCAAGAATTTCAAATGTTTTTATAATCTTTCACTTAGTAATTCTCTTTTGAGGAATTCAGTCCAAAAAAGAAATCTCGAAATTCAACCAGAGTTATATTCAAGACATACATGGCAACATTAATTATTATACCAAAATTTGGAAATGTCTGACAGTGGAAGAATTGTTATGACACTTCCACATGATGGATTGCTATGCATCCATTAAAAACGGTTACATAGAATTTTGAATAACATAGAGAAATACTTATCCACAATGTTAAGTGTAAAAACATATACAAAGTGTTTTAAATATTTTTAAATTGCATAGAAAAGAAAGGATTCAAAGTGGTAATGATGAGAAGAAAAAACTTAAAAATCCACTGTGTGATGGGATTATAGTTGACTTTTTTAAAACCTTTTACTCTTTATGTATTTATGAAAGACTTTTATGAGAATGCACTATTTTATTAATAATTTTGTTATCGTAATGTTAAGATCTCAAGCATAAATTATATGTGGTAGATGTGCAAATCTAATTGTGAATCAGTAATGATGAACTTATTGAAATTTTGTCTTATTTTTCACAATATAATCTTTGAATCTTTCTATAACCTTTGACTCTTTCTCCTCCCAGACTTGCTTATTATGAAATTCGATATCAGTTTTACAAGAGAGATCAGCTCATGTGGAGTGTCGTTAGACATTATAGTGAACAGGTAATTTTCTATAATGATAGCTCACAGGGAATATACTCCATAAAATATCAAAACAAAACATCTGGATGTGATTATACAGTTGCAATAATGTTTACATAATTTTCTCCATTTACAATCTCATTAATTAGTTTTCTTGAATGTTTAATTTCTATTGCTTTTAGTTCTTTCCCCCATATATTGCCTTTTTGTTTTGTTTTGTTTCTTTACAGATTTTATTGGGGAGTTGGGGGAGGGGAACAGCATTGGAGAATCGGGGAAGGGGAACAGACAAGATGCTGTCCTTTTTGCTTTTTGTTCTTCAGTCTAGTTGTGGAGGAAGTCATTTCCCTGACCCATGTTGGTATTATCATTGCGCTCTTCCCTGGTGAGGCAGTTGCCCGCTGGCCATTGGACGGCCACTCACAGCGGCTCATGGCAGCTCATGCCAGCTGCTGGCCAGCCCCACTGCAGCCTGTGCTGTCGCTGGCGACTCATGGCAGCCCAGCTCCAGGTCCAGCTGTTGTTCACCATCTTAGCTGTAGAGGGCGCAGTGTCACTGGCCCTCATGTGGGATCCGAACTGGGGCCCTGCTACTCAGAGCTGGCATCCCAAGCCAACTCCTAACCAACGCACCACTCGGCCAGCCCCCCCCCCCATATATACCTTTTTAAGAGTTTCTTCCAGTGCCTTTTTTCCTTTGCAATATACATTTACCATTTTGGGAAAGAATAGTGATTTAGGAGTCATTATACTCTATTTCTTCAATGACTACCATTTCTAAGCATAACCTAATAGAATTGTGAGAGGAATTCTAAGCCAGGTTCCTCCCCGTGCTTCAGTTTCTTCGTGGTTTTAGTTGCATGTACAGAGACAGTTGTTTCCGGGCACTGGGGTACCATCGCTATACCGTGGTACCTCAGGGTGACATTCCCTTTCCTTCCTCTGCTGGGAGGTGCTTTCTCTATGAGGTGTATAGACATTATGTTTATTAAATGTTTAAATAAGCATATTTTAATTTTTGTTGATCTGGTTATTCTACATCTAGTTTCATAGTAATAATAATAACAACAAAACATTAAAATTAAGTAACAGTTACTGAATTTAATATGCATACTCGGTCAAGCAGAGTCAATATAATATACCTCCCATTTTACAGATGAGAAGACTGAGGATTCTAGAGACTAAGTAACTTGTTCAAAGTTGCATAACTGCTTAGTGGCAGACTATGCCTCTACTTAGTTCTAATTTGAAATCCCCGTGTAAGGTCCTAGTATAATGCCTGGCACATAGTGAAAGATAATTAATGAACATTGTGGTGGTTATTCTGTAGAGCCTTCCTTTAACAACCTAATTTAATCAGTACTCCCCTTTTTTCCTATTGTATCATTATATTGTTCCTTCCAATGGTTTTAAAGGGCTTAATTTATTTTTTACTTTATTTTTTTCCCCCAGTTCTTGAAACAGATGTATGTCCTTGTATTGGGCTTGGATGTACTTGGAAACCCATTTGGATTAATCAGAGGTCTGTCTGAAGGAGTTGAAGCTTTGTTCTATGAACCCTTCCAGGTATTGCTTTTATTTATTTTAAGTATAGTTATAGAGAAATGGACATTCTGTTCTTTTAATGACAGATAATTTATATTTTAACTACCTGGGAACTGAATAATATTCAAATAAAAATATATCAATTTTATGATTTTATTTAAAATTACTTGAGATGACATTAAAAGATTATTTTAAAATTAATTGAGCACTTCTGTCTGAGCAATAAAACATGCCCACATTTTCCAGGATTTAATTGTAGTTGTGAGGAAGAGTGTTAGGTAGATTAAGACCATTTCAAGGCTTTTTCACCATTATGGAAAGGACTAATGGGGCATTAAAAGCTAACTTTGTTTCATATTCAAGCTTTACTCTAACCTGTTCTCCATCTAAAGAATCCAGGATCCCAAAGTAGTGAGGGTTTTAGAAGAGAGAATAAACAGGAGAAGAAGAGAGTCAATACTGTGTGGGCTCTTATACTTGTTACCAGTGCAGCTTGCTTTAACAGTCTGATCTTGGTACTGGGAGGCCAACTTCAGATTGTGACTGAGGCCAGGGATTTACTCCTATTCAGTTTTTGACATCTTAAAGGGTATGTTGAAATCACATAGGTTGAAAGTATTTTCAAACACAGTAGGTGTTCCATCAGTATTTGTGTTAGAGAGCAAAAACTGTGTCATTACAATGTTTATGGATCTTTACAGATTATGTATCTTCATGGAAACTCTGAAATACTAGATTAAAAGTGTCATTTAAATTTTAAATAGCAAACTTTTTTATTTTGGCCAGGGTGCTGTTCAAGGCTCTGAAGAATTTGCTGAGGGGTTAGTGATTGGGGTAAGAAGTCTCTTTGGACACACAGTAGGTATGTATCACGTATTTGTGTATATGAATTTTTTTATTATAAAATGCATTGCTTATGAAAAACAAATTATATTTTATAAAAAAGATCACTTTTCTAATGTTTCCTCTTAAAAGATATGTGTTTTTTTGTTATTAAATGGAAAATAATTTTACACTGACTTCTGGGTTTTTTTTTTAATGTTTTTGTAATGTTGAATCCATGTACTTTAGTTTTATTTTTCTTGATAAATGGGAAATGAGAAAAATAAATTTCTGTATTTTTGTATATGAGACAGAATTTTAAGCACCTGTTTTAAGCAATTGCATGCTGTGTATAGTGCTAATGCTTTTTAAAGAAACAATATGACTTACTACTTCTCTGGGCCTTTTGATAGGTGGTGCAGCAGGAGTTGTGTCTCGAATCACTGGTTCTGTTGGAAAAGGTTTGGCAGCAATTACATTGGACAAGGAATATCAGCAAAAAAGAAGAGAAGAGATGGGTCGACAGCCTAAAGATTTTGGAGACAGCCTGGCCAGAGGAGGAAAGGGCTTCCTGCGTGTAAGTTTCTCTCTGAATCTTCAAGAAACCCTCAACTTCTGTATATACTTGATAATATGTACTCTAGCTGTTTGTTTGAAACTTGGAATACTACTTGTGAATAAAGGTCTGTTAGAGTAGCAGTATTGATAAATTGTGGACTTTCCTGTTTCCTTTTTGCTCTCCTTCTGCATTATTATCATCAGATCTGTCCCCGAAATCGCAGACTTAGTTTGGCACTTGGATTGGAGTGAAATGATGGCAGGTTGGCAGTAGTGTGGACGGGTTAGAGATAAAGCAGAGAAATATGGTAAATGATGGTAACTATACGGGGGAGGAGCCACTCAAGTCATTGTCAGTTGACCATTTCTGAGGGAGGGAGGTATAGAAGTTAAGTGTTATAAACCAGGAACTGCTGTTCACTACTTTTCAGTACTTTAAAAATTATGCAGGTGATATATGAATATTCTCCCTATAAGTAATTGCAAGAATGTATAAGTTATCCTTTTAATAAATAATGAAATCATTATAGGTAAGGTGATCAAGTACTCTTTGATCACCCCTCACTTCTTCCCAGGGGTGTCTAATTTTCAACAGAGTGTGTATCCTTCAATTCTTTTTCTATGTGTTTATATCATATGCAGGTAATCTTAGTTACTACCATTACTTGACAATTGTTAAGAAATATAAACATATTACTATTGTAATTTCGAAAATAATTTCAGGAAACTGTACCTCTTGTGTTTGTGCCAGTGATTTGTAATATTGTATGTTGTCTCCTCTAACGTGCTTTATTTATCAGGTTATTTGCTATCCTTCAGAGATCTCTTCATTTTCAATTTTCCACACTTTCACTAAATTATAAAGTAATCTCATTAAAATTTATAAGTAGATATTACTGATTATTTGGCTCAACTCATTCATTTCACTGATACAGAAAGTGAGATTTAAGATTGAATTAACTGCCCATGGTTACATAGCTGATTGGTTCTAGAGCCTGATGTAGAATCTTACTTTTCACCTGCTTTCCTATTTTTTCTATTACAAAATTTTACTTCTGCAAGGTGGTTTTATTTAAAATTTTGTATGATATAATATTTTTAAAATCAGAGTGTTCATTTACATGTGTTGTTTACATTATTAAATACAGAGTGCCAAAAAAATGTATACCCATTTTAAGAAAGGAAAAAACTATTAAAATTGTAATACTCAATATATATTGATAACAAAAGATGAATACAAGTCACGTTTGACTTCTGCAATTACAAGAGGTGCTCAAAGTGATTACCATCAGCATAATTTTAATACAGTTTTTTCCTTTCTTAAAATGTATATACGGTTTTTTGGCACCCTCCTTAAATACTCATTTTGTAAAAAAAAGTTTTTTTCTAGTATGTCTGTAGAGACCTCTAGTGGTCGATTTAAAATTAAGCACCTTCCATTCAGGTTTCACTTCATGATTGATTTCTCTTTCAGGGAGTTGTTGGTGGAGTGACTGGAATAATAACAAAACCTGTGGAAGGTAGGTAGAGAATGTTTCCTTTTTGTACAAAGTCTAGAGAGCTGATGCATGTTAAATATACCAAATGTTATTGTTACTAGGTATTTGAGAGAATTTCTAATTTTATGTTCATAGTCCTAAATTATTGTTTAATAAAAAGGACTTTCCTCAGAAAGTAGAGGGGTTAAGTAGTAGACTGTAATTCAGACTTTGAATGTTATTTTCAGCAGGTCCATAGTTAAACTAGATTCCTTTGGGCCTTTAATAACAGTTGACTAATTTTTTATCCCATTTTAAAAAGCACATTACTTTATTCGGTGCAGTATCTATCAAAATGCCAGTTGGCTTTTTTGCAGAAATTGACAAGCTGATTCTAAAATTTATATGGGAATTTGGAGGACCCCAAATAGCCAAAACAACCTTGAAAAAAATGGAACAAAGTTGGAAGACTTATACTATCCAATTTTAAAACTTACCATAAAGTTAAAGTAACTAAGACAGTGTGGTAGTAGCATAAAGACATATAGATCAGTGGAATAGAATTTAAACTCCAGAAATAAACCCTCACATTTATGGTTAATTGATCTTGGACAAGAGTGCCAACATAATTCCATAGAGAAAGAATAGCCTTTTCAACAAATGATACTAGGACAACTGGAAATAAACACAGAATTTCTATATATGGCCCAACATTTCCACTCCTAGCTATGTACCTAAGAGAATTGAAAACATATATTTGCTCAAACACTTATACGTAAATGTTCATAGAAACATTATTCATAACAGCCAAAATGTAATAGCAACCCAAATGTTTATCAACTAATGCATGGATAAACAAAATGTGGTATATTTATACAATGAGACATTATCCAGCTATAAAAAGAAATCAAGTACAAATGCTCCTCGACTTATGATGAGGTTACATCCTGATAAACCCATTGTAAGATGAAAATATCCTAAGTTGAAAATGCACTTACGTTGTGGAGTATTGGTTATTTACCTGTGTGCTCGCTCGCCTGGCTGACTGGGAGCTGCGGCTCACTGCCGCTGTCCAGCATCTTGAGAGAGAGTGTGTATCGTACTGTGTATTGCTAGCCCAGGAAAAGATTAAAAAAATTCAAAATTTGAAGTACGGCTTCTGCTGAATGGGGACTGCTTTCTCACCATTGTAAAGTCAAAAATCTTAATTCGAACCATTGTAAGTTGGGGACTATTTGTACTGATACAAGTGTAAGGTGGATGAATCTTGAAAACATGATGATAAGTAGAAAAAACCAGTTAAACATACCACATATTGTATGATTCCATTTGTAGGAAATATCCACAGTAGGCAAGTCCATAGAGCTAGAAAGTAAATTAGTGGCTGCCTGGGTCTGACTTGCGGGGAGCAACGAGGTAAACTGCATAGGATTGGGCGGGGGATGGGGAAGGATTGCTGATTGGCACAGGGTTTCTTTTTGAGATGATACAAATTTTCTAAAATTGATTGTAGTGGTGGTTACACAACTCCGAGTATACTAAAACCCATTTAATTTGTACACTTATTTAATGGGTAGATTCTATGGTTTGTGAATTATATTTCAATAAAGTTCTTATATTTTTAAGAAAGTACACTGCTTGAAAAATCTCCTGATGGTTGGCATTCAAAAAAATGATATTTTCGGTCAATCTTAGACATTCTAGTCCCAGATGCTGACTAAACTTCTGAATCAATAGTTGTAAAACTTGTGCTTGCTGTAGGATTACCTGGAAGGTTTACTTAAACATAGATTGTTGGGCCCCACTCCCAGTGTTTCTGATTCAGTAGATTTGGGATGGGGCCTAATAATTTGCATTTTTAACACACTTTTTGTCATGTTATGATCAAATTTAACTTCTTCAGAAAGCTAAATTCTAGAAGCTTCCTGGGTAAAACAGTTCAGCATTTAGCTCAGGCTTTTGTTTTGTTCAAACTTGATTGTTTTCATATATCTTTATGCATTCATTCTCTTTGGTTTTATGAAGGTGCCAAAAAGGAAGGAGCTGCTGGATTCTTTAAAGGAATTGGAAAGGGGCTTGTAGGTGCTGTGGCTGCTCCCACTGGAGGAATCATAGATATGGCCAGCAGTACTTTCCAAGGAATTCAGAGGTAAGAAAGGATATGCTATGTGCAGGGTATGTGTCTGTGTGCTAATTGTTGCTAAGAATATATAAATAGGTTCAATACTTTGCGTGCTCTTAAGGGTCTTAAAGTCTAATTGAAAGCTATGATAGGTTCACAGGTAGAGTGCCACTAGGAAAAGGAAGGAAGAGACATTTTTTGTGGCTCTATTTCTTTTATTCAACAAATGTTTATTGATACCTACTATATGGTAGGCACTTGTGCTGGACACCAAGGACACAAAGAGTGGATGACCTAGACTCTGCCTTTATTATTTTGATGTTTCTTTTCTTTGAAGAAAGTTGGGGGAGCTTGTAGTCAGACAGACTTGCTTTTAATACTTGTTGCATTATTTTGGGCAGATTATTTAAAATTACTCTGTTTTAATCAAATATTGATACAATATAGAATGTAGTACAGTGTTTAATCAACATATATATGTATTATTTTGAAAGATTCTCACATATCTCCTTATATTTATTTTGCTTCCTTATGTAGGGCAGCAGAATCCACTGAGGAAGTGTCCCTCCTCCGTCCCCCTCGCCTGATCCATGAAGACGGCATCATTCGCCCATATGACAGACAGGAATCTGAGGGCCATGACTTATTTCAGGTATAAATTCTGTTCTTCATGGTTATGAAGGAAATTTAAAGATTTCTAGGATCAGGATTTCATGGATGGTTCTTAAAGTTCCTGATTAATGAACTTCTTTAGGGATTACACAGGGAATATGGTTTGTAGAGTAGATTTGATTATTTATTTTATTGTAATGTGTTAAATGGGAATAACTGGTAATTCTTCTCTGCACAGGAGCAAAGTTTTTTTATATAGAAAGGATAATTTTAAAAGAAGTCATAGGCTTCATTATTATCTGTGTGGTAGCTCATATAGTTATATAACATTGTTAACTTCTGTCTCCTACTTTCTAGCTAATTATTGGAATTTCACTGCTTCCTTTTCTTCGAACCAAATTAATTTATTTGGACTACTCTAAATCTGGATTTGTTCGGGTAAACAGAAGATGGAGCAGAGAAAAAAATGATTATGTACAATTACAGTCTTTTTAAACCTTAAAAAAACTATTAAAGGGTTTATTTTTGGCTTTTATTTTAGTTTTAGCTTTATTGTATATGTATATAAATATACTTCCATGACTAGCTTTCCCCCAAAATAAATTTATTAATATTTTCCTACTTTGACTTTAAAATAAAATGACTCTTCATTGTTATTGCCTGTGGTTTTTATTATGTGTGATTACATTTTATTTTTTTGCATGCTTCTAACTTTATTTTCTTTCTTTTTCTGCCTACACAGCAAGAACTGGAAATACAGGAGTAAATGTCTCCTATACTACTACTGATTTCATCCTTAAAAATCAAAACAAACTGTGGTATTAATAGACTGTGTTTGATTTATTTAGATTGAGAGTCCATTTTAATGATTTTTTTCTTTACAACTCTCACCTGTGTCTGAACTTTTTATTGTAGTGGCTTGACTACAAATAAAAATGGTGGTATTCCTGGTAATATTGTACAGGAATAAGAGATCAATATAAAATATTAAAGGATGCAGGAAATCAACTTTCTTGTCCATTTAGTTGATGAAAGACTTTATCGAGTTCAGAAGCATACACTCTTACTATCATTTTGAAAATTTTATCTTATGGTATTCATGTGTATTTCAGGTAGTTTAAAAAAAAGAAAAATTATTATGTCCAATATATTATGGATCCTTATGTTTGTTAGTCCTGATGATGGAATTACATAACTGTTTCACAAATCACCTTACGTTTACTTAAGTTAAGGGCCTGTTAACTGGGACCTTTGTTTTAATACCTGAAATTATCAGTTGCCTGGGTCTATCCTTAGACCCCAAATACGAATTGGCGCATGACTTTGAGAATATGTTCCTTGGATCTCTTTTCTTTTTTAACCTCTCAGTACTCTTTGCTAGATAAATGGCTATCATTTTATAATTATATACATGCTCAGCCTTTAGCATGTATGCTTTTCAAAAATTGAATCTCCTTGTTGGTTATACTTATTTCACAATTACATTAGTTTTAACTAATGTAAATAGAAGTTGAATATGTAATTAGGCAAGTTACTTATGTGGCACTTGAATTTATAGATATTTTTAAAAACCAATCTTTTTGCTTTTAAATCCTTAGAGAGGATTTATTACCTTAATGAGAACAAAAATAGTTATAAATTGCCATTTTGAAATTAATGCCCCCATAGTTAGTTTTCAAAATAAGTTATGTTTTGGTTTCTTTTTCATAAATGACAGAAATGTTTAATTTAATTTAGCAGCATCTTACCTAGCTACTTTCATTTTTCCCTCCAAAATTGAAACCAAGGTATAAACTTAGATTTAATGTATATTTGAAGAGAATGAAACTGTTAACATACAGCTGGTCAGTTGGATTATATATTTTTTGTAAAGTATAGTTATCAAAAGAATTAATTAAATGCTTCATATTTAAAGCAATCACTTTAAAGAAAAAAGAATGACATCCAAAGACCAGCCTAAAACTGTAGCTGACAAACTTTTCTTGTGCCTAGATAATTGAGGGTTGACAAAAATATCACCACATGTACAGTTTCTGTAAGAATCAAGCACAATAGCTAATTCAAGATGCTGTCTTAAATCATTACTAGTAATTACCCTTCCTTCTTAGGTAAAAGTAATGATTTTTAATTTTCCTGGATATATTGTGGTTTTATTGAGACTTGACTTGGGAAGTTGTATCACTCCTTAAAAGTTTTCTCTTTACATATTGTTTACTTTTCATTTAGTTCTTTACATTATTAACCTTTTCCTTGTGATTTTTCATTTTACAACTGCTTGTCAGTAAGCACAAAGCTTCAAAAAGCTTTTTATTATTTTAGCTAAATATAGTGATCTTGTCTGATTTATTAGTTTTTATTAAGATATCATATAACTTTTTAAACTTTAAGTATCCTTATAATTACTGGAAGAAATAGAATGATTGTACATTAGCGAGAGGACTTGGTGATTTTTTTTCCATGGGTGACAAGTGTAGGAATGGATAATTAAGAAATCTAGGCTGTTTCATCCCTTGTCCATCTTGCTATAATCAGCTATATATGATGTATTTATTGATTATCTAGACTGTGCTGGATATACAAAAGAAATAAGACTTCTGTCCTTAAGAGACCAAGTATAACAAAATGTGGAAATATTAAAGAACGCTAGAGTATAAAATTATATCCTCCTAGCCCTTATTGTAATATGAGTACATCCTAAATAATTTATTGGGGAATCTTTTGACTTACTCCATTTTCTTTTTCTCCTGAGTATTGCTCTGTATTCTTTAATTTGATGCTCAGCTTTGAAAGTTACTAAATCATATACTGTTTTTTTATAGGATATGTTCTTTTGCTTATCTTCTCCTAGGACAATTACTGTTTATATATATATGTATACATACATGTATGATATATACATTGCCAGTTTTTATTTAATATTCATTTGGGTTCACCTACTTATGAACATATAATATTTAAAATGCTCTTTCTTGCTTTTTCATTTTAAGTATGTTTTTCATGTTCATAGAAATGCTTAATTCTTAATTCTTGCATTACCATCTGTTGAGGTAACCTTATATTGTGCATTTGACCATTCCCAGTTCTGGACATTAAAGTTGTTTCTGTTATTTTAATAACAGTAATAACGCTGTGATAAACATCGTTCTACACATTGCTTTTTCATATCTTGTATTATTTCTTTAGAATTTACTTGAAAAAGTTAAATGTTTTTGCTAAATATCGTAAATTCTTCAGGTTGCATTTTGGGAAGAGAGTGAATATTTTATTAACTAATCTGGTCTGCTGCCATCAGTGACTGAATATCTGAATCTGAATCTCAGAGTGTAGTGGATTTTAGTAGTGCTGAAAACAAGGTTTCTATAATGTATTATGATGATAAATCATACTTTAATAAGAGTTATTAATGGTTTAAAGATAGCAACAGTCTAAAAACAAATGAAAATGCATAAAAGATGGGAAGTTGGTAGTATTTCTTGTACAGTGCATCTCAAATCTACATATTTTAGCATATTTACATTTCAAAGCTGAATATAAGTGTACTATTAAATTATTATATTCATTTCCCATTTTCTCTTTATTAAAAGAATTAAGTTATAAATGTTAAAAGATTTTATTTAGCTAATTTACACAGGCAAGATGTAAAACATGTGACTGTTAAACTCCACTTCTTTCTAAGACTTATTCTGAAGATGAGACCCCAGTTCTTTGGGGATTTATCTTTGTTCATGGCTTTTCATAATTTTAAAAGAATGACTAGGAATCAAGGACCTTCAAAAAACATGTATTTAAACATTGAAATAATACTAAGTGTGCTTTCTCTACTTGTGATTATTTTTGGTTTTATTATCCTTTTAGTACTATGGGTTTAGTAAAATGTTAAGGTCTTATTCATTATTTATTAGTTTATGTTCTGTGTTTTCATATATCTGATCTTTAATCATGCATTATAATGTCAATATTTCATTAGCATTCATTATAAAAATAACTATTTTGTGGTTTTTAATGTGTTGACTAATTCAAGTCACAATAGTTTTGAGACAGTTGGAAAAGTAAATAAATGTATTTTAATGTGTTACTGTTTATACTTGAATTGTTTTATGCTTGTAATTGTCTTTAGCAATAAATTGTACCAACTATTAGAAATTCATCATGTTTGTGTTAATATTATCATTAAATTTTATTTTCTATCAGGAACATAATTTGATACATACACTTCTCATGAATGTTTAATCTCTAAGACTAAATACTCAAAAACATTAAATATCAGTTATCTTGGAATTTTATTATGTGCATCTACCTCTATGTAAAATCAGCGGTTCCTAACTGTTGAGAAGGATCACAGACCCTTTCAAAGAATCTGATGTAAAATATGAATCATCCTTTGAAAGAAGTTACAGAACCACATTTTCAAAATTTTATATTCTGCTTTAGGTGGTTCATAGCCCTCCCAAGGAGCTTCCATGGACCACAGGTTAGGAACCTGCAATGTTAATACCCCAGAAATGTGTGACTATTTCTGGTAGATGTCTAAAATCTCTTAAGTTACCACAGAATGAAATGTGTTTTACTAGAAGATCACTTAGTAAGAATTTAATACTTATTTGTTTTTTAAGGCACAGTGGAAGTTAATTTACAAACATGCTACAAATGTTTTTCTAGCTTCATGTGCAAATACGTAGAATTGTGCTTTTGTTTCTAATGGTATTTTTCCTAACTAGTGTTGTTATTATAGTTAGCTAACATACAATATTGCAAATACTATTTGGGTGCATGTACTACCCAAATCTTGAGTCTTTTTTTTTTTTTTTTCCCCTCAGAATCATATGAAAAAGTTAGAAGGAGAGACTTACCGATACCACTGCTCTATTCCTGGAACCAAGAGGACAATCTTTATGGTTACGAATAGGTATTAATAACTTCAAATGACATTTTCCCAATTTTAAATTACATAGATCTTAAGAATTTTGAAGACTAAAATGGCAGAGGATGTGGAGAACTGGACTCTAACTGCAAAATAGTCATTGTCATAGAACCATAGAAACACAGATCTGGATAGGTTCTTTGAGATCATCTGTTCTGATCCTCTCATTTTAGTGATGCTGAAACTGAGACTCAGCATGGTTTAGGGGCTTATCCAAGTTACACAGCTACTAAGAGATGGGATCTAGAATAGACCTCATAAGTGCAATAGTGATACCGTTATATGTGAATTATAAATTCAATTATGGAGGGTGAATTCATGAACCACTTTTTCTCACTATGTTTTATTTTGGATGATTTAGCATACCTTTTTTTAAAGGATGGTATTATTTCTGTATTTTTTTTTCCTAAGTATTTTGGGAGTGGTAGGCAATTTTTCCTAATGAAAGAACTTTGATTAAACTGTTTTTTTTACCTGATATTTACCCTATATCACTTTTTCCAAAATGACAATTATAGATTAATAATTTTCAAAACTTTATGTTATGTATTTTTCTAGGACTAAGGCAGAGTACTTAAGTAGGCAAAGTCTGTATTAGGTTCCTTGCTGCTGCATTTAAATATATTTGGATGGGAAGGAGAGAAAGGAAAGCTAAAACAACAGGACTCAGACTTAAACCTACAAGCTTTTTTAAAGAGAGAGTTAACCAGTCACCTGATTTGCCCATTAATTAAGAAATGAAAATATTCACAAAACAATCTAAAATGCAGTTTTTGCAGATTTGACAAGTAATCATTTATTTTTTTATGCTTATAATTTTATATCCATAAGATTAGACCAAAAACAGTGTTTATTTGTATTGTGTATTGTATTTAGCTGCAATAAGTGTGTTAATTCATTTTAAAATTGTGTCCCTTTTATGTAATTCAATATTGGGCAATGGAAATCAGGTGTTTTTTTGTTTGGTTTTGGTATTACTTTATATCTTGATACCTGTTTGATTAGTCATTTTGTGGGAATATTACTGTATATAGTAATACATTATACATTTTGGTTTTCTTCAAGTAAATTGAAAAGTCATGGTAACTTTAAACCTATTCACTTATAGAGCTTTTCAGGAGACAATTAGAAAAATAATATTCCTGACCTGTATAGTGACTTAGTCTCCTTGTAGCTTTAGTAGACTTTAACAGTAATTTCTTTGAAATAGTTATCATTATGCTGATCTGTTTGACCTTTAGTGTTACATAAAAATAGCATTTCTTCCAAACTTAACATTTAAAAAATGAACTCTTTTATTGCTAAACTTATGCTTATTCATTCTAGATAATATAGATCAGGAGTCAACAAAATATCTTTAAAGGGCCAGATAATAAATATTTAGGCTTCAAGGGCCATCTCATGTTTTCCATCTATACTCAGCTCTGCCCTCGTAGTGGGAAAACAGCCTTGAACAATATGTAAATGAAACGGGGTGGTTGTATTCCAGTAAAATTTTATTTACTAAAACAGGCCATGGGCTGGATTTGGCTTACAGGCCATAATTTTCCTACCCCTGATACAGATAATAATTAAGCAGATGAAAATAACTAAAACTAGTTACCTAGGACAGAGCTGGTTTGTGCTTTTTGTCCCAATGTAATTATTAGTATCTATCCCTTTCATTCTTAAAAATGTCTGGTTTGAATGATAAGTTATATGATAACTGCTAAAAGTAGCATTTAATAGCAGTCCTATCATCCAGAGATCGCTGGTACATCAGATTTCTGCAGTATATGTACTTTATAAAAACTATGTACAAAAATGCAATATGTACATTTTAACTAACCTAGGTTTTTCACCTAACACTATATTGTGATCATCTTCCCAAACCATTAAATATTTTTGACATGATTTTTAATGACTACATATTATATTTATGGATATACTATAATTTTTTCAAATGATGCCTAACTATTTGACACTTAATTTTCTCCATCTCAATATAGTATTATTTGCAGCTAAGTATTTTTTTTCTATAGTTATTTCCTTAGGATAAATCCTTATCAGTGAGATTGCTGATTTAAAAGTTGTGAAGATTTTTGAGGTCCTTTCTAAATTGCCAAGTTGTTCTATCAGAAAGATTGTATCAGTTTTATACATACAACTAAAAAAATATGGAAGTGTCCTTTCTCCTGTTTTGTTAAGACTAGGTGTTCTCATTTAAACTTTTTTTTTTTTTTTAAGATTTTTATTGGGGAGTTGGATGGGAACAGCGCTGGGAAATTGGGGGAAGGGGAACAGACAAGTTGCTGTCCTTTTGTTCTTCAGTCTAGTTGTGGAGGACGTAGCTTCACTGGCCCAAGTTGGCACCATTACCATCTGTTGAGGTAACCTTATATTGTGCATTTGACCATTCCC